AGAGACAGAGAGAAGCAGCAGTGTTGCATGCCTAAACATGAGCGCATGAGAATGTCTTTTTCAACTTTCTCCTTCCTTCCCTTAAACACTTGGATTATCTACCACAGACAAACACACTTAGGGACGAAACACAACTTAGGGATGATTTATCTCCATAGACAAGGAAACGTTTGCCGCCTGTGCGGCATTTGCCATAGATGCTAAATGCATTTGACAGGAACAAGCAAGCGCGGGGCCAACCATCGCCCATCCCTGACCCTAAAAGCAACAGGCGCAAAAGGAGCCTCGAAAAGCCGCACCCCAGTTCGCCATCCAGCCGCAGCGACACCGTCGGAACGCCGCTGTCCGGCAACGGTGACGTCTGTCGATCATCGGGACTGTTTTCCAGACTCGTGTCCCCGCGCTGAACTGCCGGCGGTGCGCTATTAGACGACGCCAACACAAGCCTTGGCTGCTGCTGCTGCTGCTGCTGAGCCAGCTGGTGGCCCTTTGCATTCCCCGTGGCCGTTGCTGCTGCTGCTGCTGCTGCTGCAGGACCTCTCGCCACATTTGCCGTAGCCACGGCGGTCTCAAAGGGACTCCCGGGCGAGTTTCCTCCCTTGTCCCTCGCCTCGCTACCTTCCTGTCCAGGCCGCGACCGCCGCCGCTGCTGCTGCTGCCGCCCATGCGCGCTCCTGGAGGACGCCCCAGGGCTCATCCCCCCCGAGGCCTCATCCTCACTTGTATCCTCCCACGGCAGCTTTCCAGCTGGCCCTGGACCCCCTTGTCCGCCGTCGTCGCTGGGCGGGCCACCAGACACGTCCGAGCTCCGTCGGTACCGCAAGTCGTCCGTACGGGCGATGTACGCGCCGCTGCCGCTGCCGGTCCTGCTTCCGGTGCCGCTGCTCCCATGCGCTCTCCACGCCGCTGCTGCCCCTGATCCGGACTTTGGTGAAGCGTATGCAGCATCGGACGGGGGTTTATGCCTGCCCGGTGAGTCGACCGTTGTACGGAGCTGTAGCTGTTGGTGGTGACGATGGTTGTGGTAATAATGATGGCGATCGTTCATGCGGCCGGGGCCTTCTTCGGCCGGGGCTGCGTACCGGTCTTCCTCCTCGTACTCCTCTTCTTCTTCTTCCTCCTCCTCCTCTTCCTCATTCAGCCTTTGGAGGCCATGAGCCTGCATCTCAGACGCGCCGGGACGCCCCGCTGCCGAGCCATGACCGTCGCCACTGCTGCGCAGCTTGAGTCTGCTAGAGCTGGCAAACACCTTAGTTTTTATTCCGAAGGAGAAATCGCCAACTGGAAGGCGTGCAGCCAGCGTCTGTGCTGCGTCCCCCAGCTCCCCGCCATCGGCATGGAGAGACACTGTTTCTACGGCACGGATCGGCATGCCCGTGGCGGCTAGATGCTCCAGCATCATCGGCTCGCTGCTGAAGCCGCTCAGCCTAGTTGGCCTAGGACCGTTGGCTGCCGGCGACGGCGACGGCGACGGCGACGCGAAGCTGTTGCTGCTGCCGCCGTTGCTACGCGCCGCCGCCAGGAGGTCCGGCGGCGGTACGAAGCCGACGGACGGCGTGGGGGAGGCGACGGCCATGACTTCCGGCGGCGGCACGAATCCGATTGTGGACGCCTGGCTGTGGTAGTGAGCGTAGGCGCCTGGGGAGGACACGCCCTCCTCTCGCGATGGAATAAAGCCGGGGCTGCCAACACCGCTATATTGAGCTGCCGGCAGCACGCGGCCAATGGGGTCGAACGCCGGCCGTGGTGAGTTTGCCACGGAGTTTGCCCCCCGCGGTGTCCGGGACGTTAGCCCATCCTCACCGCTGTCATAGGATCCGGTGCCTACGCTGATTTGCATCGCGTCCCCAGACTCAGTGGATGTGAACCTCCAGCCCAGAGCGCCGCTGCTGCCGCCGCTTTGGAGATGGTCCTTGATTTTGAAAGGTAGCTGGTTGGCGGTCGCAGCGTCCGACGGCAGCGTCGGGGGTTGGGGCCTAGCTGCCGTCGGGTCGCGGCGTGAGTTGCGAGGGGACGTGAGTCCCTCCTCGGGCTGCCGAATCTTGACAGAACCGGAGGATTGCAGGGACCGCAACTTGCTACTTAACTGCCGCTGTGGGGCTTCTACACTAGACCTGTGCATGGAGTTTATGGCAGTGACAATGAAAGGAGCGCGCTGAGGGCTGGTGTTACTGAAGACGGTGATGAGCCGCGAGGTGGTGGCGCCGGGGCTAGAAGAACGCAGGGGGCTGGCGGCGCCGCTGTTTGAGACGCGCAAGGGGCTGGTAATGTCATTGCCAGAAATGCGCATAGGGCTGGCAGCACCCAGGCTGAAGGAGCGCTGCGGGCTGGCGGCGCCGGATCCGATGGCGCTGAGGCTCATAGAACGCCGCGGCCGCCGTGGACTGAGGGCACCCGGGCTGGCGGCCCTGCTGCTAGAGACTTGCAACGGGCTACCGGGAAAACGTGGGCTGCCGGCACCGAGGCTCATGGAGCGCCGAGGGCGCCGTGGACTGGCAATGCCAGGGCTCAAGGCGCCGCTGCTACTGATGCGCAACGGGCTCGGTGCGCCGCTGCTGGACACGTGCAGCGGACTGGTGGGGCCTGTCCTGATGGTTCCCAGGCTCATGGAGCGCCGAGGGCGCCGTGGACTGGCAATGCCCGGGCTGGCTGCGCCGCTGCTAGAGACTCGCAACGGGCTGGCTGCGCCGCTGGCGGAAATGCGTATGGGGCTCGCGACGCCGCTACTTGATATTCGCAACGGGCTCGCGGGAAACCGTGGGCTGCCGGCACCGAGGCTCATGGAGCGCCGCGGGCGCCGTGGACTGAGAGGACTGCCAGGACTGACGGTCCCGCTGCTGGACACGCGTAACGGACTGGCGGCGCCGCTGCTGGACACATGCAGCGGACTGGCGGCACGGGGGCTAACGGCGATGCCAGTACTCTTGAAGCCGGATTTGACGGCGGCCGGATTGGCAGCGCCTGTTCTGGCGGCAGCGGTGCTGACGGTGCCTGTCCGGAAAGCTGCACGAGGGCTTGTGGTGCCTGTCCTGACGGCGGCAACGCCGCTACTGGTGCTGCGCGGGCTCGCGGTTCCTGATTTGACGGCGGCGCCACTGCTGACGATGCGAGAGCTAGCGGCGCCTTGTCTGACAGCGGCGCTGAGGCTGGGGGGTTGAGGATTCGCTGTGCCTGGCCTTACGGCGGCAGCGCTACTGACACTGCGCGGGCTAGCGGTTCCTGACTTAACGGCGGCGCTGCTGCTGGTAGCTCGAGGACTTGCAACACCTTGCCTGACAGCGGAGCTGGGACTGGAGGTCCGCGGGCTTGCAGTGCCTGGTCTCGCAGCGGTGGCGCTGCCAGTGCTGTGAGGGCTCGCAGCACCTTGTCTGACGCCGGCAGCAGTGCTAGTTGTGCGAGGGCTTGCTGCGCCTTGCCCCATCGCAGAGCTCGGGTTTGTAGTGCGCGGGCTTGCGGTGCCTGGTCTGACGGCCGCGGTGGTGCTGCTAGTTGTGCGCGGGCTAGAGGCGCCTTGTCTGACAGCGGCGCTGGGGCTTGGGGGATGAACACTAGCTGTGCCTGGCCTAACGGCCGCACCGCTACTAGTGCTGCGCGGGCTAGCGGTTCCTGATTTAACAGCGGCGCTGCTGGTAGCGCGAGGACTTGCAACACCTTGCCTGACAGCGGAGCTGGGACTGGAGGTGCGCGGGCTTGCAGTGCCTGGTCTCGCAGTGGCGGCGCTGCCAGTGCTGTGAGGGCTCGCAGCACCTTGTCTGACGCCGGCAGCAGTGCTAGTTGTGCGCGGGCTTGCGGTGCCTGGTCTGACGGCCGCGGTGGTGGTACTGGTTGTGCGAGGGCTAGAGGCGCCTTGTCTGACAGCGGCGCTGGGGCTTGCAGTGCGAGGGCTCGCGGTGCCTGGTCTGGCAGTTGCGGCGCTGCTGCTGGTTATGCGAGGGCTAGCGGCCCCTTGCCTGGTGGCACCAGCTCTGACGGTGCTAGAGCTGGCTGCGCCGACATTGTTGACGCGCCGTGGACTATTGACACGGGGACTATTGATACCGCTAGATCCAGTATTGCCTGCTGCCTGGCCGCCGGCCTTGCTAGCGTCCCTGTTGCCGCTGTCTGCTCTGGAAAGGCCGCCGGACATGTGGAACGCTTCAGCACGGCCCACCAAGCGCTTTTGCACTGTGTCCCCGACAGCTTTTTGATACTGTGTGCGCAAGTCCTCGCCATGTGTAGGCACCTGGCCACCCTGAAGGGAGCTGCGTACTTGCGAAGATAGGCTGTGCTTCAGGGCTTGCAGAGCGGAGCTGATGGAAGCAGCTGAGGGCACCGATGGGGTTAACGCCGGAGGCGCATCACCGTCCGCTATGTAACGGGCGGGTCGACTGGACCCAGCGGAACCGCGCAGCTGTTCAAAGTTATCCGACGGCATGTCAATCCCTTCGTCAACTTCGTCCCAATCGACATCTGATCCTGGTCCCCGCGAGGAACCAGGGCCAGAGACGCCGTGCTGCACCAGGCTTTGCCTGGCATGCTTGATTGGCGCGTCGCCGGCCTGCGCTGATATGCCCCGGGAGCTGAGAGCTTCACGTATACTCGTCTCGAGTCCCCCGCTTGACAACGGTTGGACGGATTGCGTGTGACCTTCAGCGGTGTAGCGTTCGCTCTTTATGCTACCCTGTAGATGCTGTTGCTGCTTTTGCAATTGCTGCACTCGAGGCTGCAGTTCGCCAGCTGACCCTGAGGCCAACTCCAAGCTCTCCACACAGGACTGAAGTCGACGATGAAGTTGTTCCACCTTATTCCTTATGCCCTCAGCTGTGCTAAATACAGCTGATTCATCCGCACCATAGCTACGCGGTACCATGGTTTGACTGCCAAGGCCGCAAGGCTCAAGCTTTTAGTATCAACCTAAGTCGCTTCATGGAGAAAAGCTATGAGGGTGCCAAAAAAGGTTTCAAGGTTAAAGCAACCTGTTCCATAGCCTACAAGTACAATGTAAGCAACCCATATTTATTAAATCCCAGATACAAGTTACAGAACAGTAAGGTAAGTCAACCATATTGACATGAAAGAAAACGGCACCAGGGGCAGGACACGACAATGTGCCGTACTTCAAACGTCCTGTAGAGCAGGAATCCAAGGGCAACACCATTGCCCATCATTTCACAAAAACATTTTATCCTAGCGATACCATTACCCTTGGCCAGCAGCGAAAAAGGTTCATAGAGACCGCCTGATCCAGGGCCCCTAGAACCATAACGACCTGAACCGTCGAACGAAGAGGAACTCATCTACCCACACACTAAAAATGTGTCTAAAACAAACGTACTTTCACAGCTATAGGAGTACGCGTGTTTTCATGCATACAGCACTGTGCCGGCGTCAAAGCGAAGGATAAGTAAACGACATCCCAGCATATAAGGTCAGCCCACACCTGCTATCAGTTTTCTTTTACTGGCACTGTGACCTCTGCCCAACCATGCACCAGGACATAGCCACGCCACACATTCAGGACAGCCATGCCAAGTTACGACTTCCTCGAAAGCATAACGTGCCTATCAGTAACATAACCTGCGCCTAGGATAATCAACAAACATTGACACCTGCGCTAGCCAGGATTAACATGGTCCTCAACCACGACGCTGTTAAACGCGCTGCGAAAACATACACCACAGTTGCTGTTAGCACTAAGCAGTATCCAGCGCTGCCACCAACGACACATTGACACGACAATGCGACAACCCTGCATAGTTCCAAATTCATCGCGACATGCAAGTTGGAGCGGTTCATTCACTATTACTTAGTTCTCGTAGGCACCCGGTCCCTGCAGAGCAGCAGGGACACACAACAGCAACACAGGCGCAGTGTGTCAACGTTTATATCGGAGCCATAACGGCTTCAAGTGCGATTGCAATTACGCTCTGGGACACATACATACATACATACATACATACATACATACAACTTGCAAAGGACATACATGTAACTGGGCACATCCAGACACACGTACACGTATCCGTAGGCATGTAGTGTTATCTGCAATCACAACAGTTACCCGATTCCCTAAAGCCCAATCGACAGCTACGAGCAGCAACCCAACCCCGTCACCTACCGGAGTTTGGCTCGTCTTGAACACCATACGAGGTTGGGATCCAAAGCCGTACGCAGGTAGATTCGTCCGTACACTGAGGCTCTGTTTCCCAAAGCTTGTCAAGGTATTGGGCTGCTGCCGATCGTAGTTATTCGGGGAGAAGCTCCCCCGGAGCACATTTGCGTGTTGCGACGTAACGAACCGCGCCGACTCCTTATCGCGGTCGCTACTCCCAAAGCCATACGCCGGCATTGTCCGCGAGAGTGACAAAGTCTGCTTGCCGATCTGCATGCGCATATAAAAGCCCAAAATCATCTTATCAACAGTATAATCGTCGCCTCTCGAGCAGGGAAACTGTCCCGGGGCAGAGTTCGCCCGTGTTCAGGTCGAGCCTAGCTCAATTCTGGCCCAACTCAACTCCCGAGATCCCGCACTGTTGGCGCCCTAAGCCCCGGTTCCATGTTCGAATCCTGTAAAGAACAATAATGACACGTGCTAGTTGCTAATTGTTATGCCGCTTCCCTTGCCTGCACCTTTCCTACACCCCTGCTCCGTAGGCCTCGCGTAGTTGGTGCTGTGAATGTCATCCGCAGTTATTCCTATTCTAATTTTCACAAATAACAATAACAATAATATAATAATATACCAAAAAAAACAAACAAACCACCCAAGCAGGTTCGGCGGCGCAAAGCACCACAAGGCGCTCCTCCTTCACGGGGTGCCTAGGCACCCATCCGGCTCCATCTGCGCTCCCGCCATCATCAGGCGAAGCTACGGCACTAGCAATAGCAGCAGCTCTAGCAGCAGTAGCTGTAGCAGCAGCTCATGCACCCGCACGGCAAGCCGGAATGCGCAGCTACGGAGTCAGTCCGGGGGTTCCCTTGCTGTCCCAACAAAACCCAACAAGCCCAGCACTAACCAGCTCTCCCCAGCCGCACTTAGCCACTGACCACTTACGCTGTTCCATGTCTCGTACTGCCCAGTCGCTGGCATCGTTTTCGATAAAGCTTCGTACCGGTCCCTAGGGATAGAACGTGAAACACGGCACGCGGGGTTAGCAGGAGGTGGTGCGAGGTGATACTTTGTGCCATGAGATGGAAGCACATGATGATGATGATAATGGTAATGATGATGATGATGATGATGATGATGACGATGATGATGATGAAATTGGTAGTAATGATGCACAAAGCAAGGAGTCGAATGTCAACGCTCCAAGGCCAGGGGAGGCAGGGCGGCAGAGGCGTGGGGGGTTGTGATGAGTTAACCTTTCAATAGTTTTGACCCTGAATGTGAGTGGTGAGGACGAGCAAGATAAAGCTAGGAGACACGGAAGTCAAACATCGTGGAGATGTGGATGTAAAGAGAGAGAGAGTGTGTGTGTATATGTGTGTGTGTGTGTTTTCCACCCTAAGTTGTGATACCCTTTGGAGGTGTCACGATGGACCACGTCATCCATATAACCATGTGTACTGGACCAACCAAATGGACTCCGCTTTGCCTTGCTCACCGAGCCTTCACCCCCCATGAATGTAAGAGACACAGACACGCGTCGCTGCACTACGGGTCTTTTGCTTCTGGAAAAGTAAATCTTAGGGACCACACTCCTTGCACCGCCCTCGCCATTTCCTTCTCGCGGTTCCGAAGATCATTACGTCATTACGTTTCCCCCATACACACACGCTGGTCAGCGTCAGACCCGGATCGATATGTCACAGACATACACACATACACATAGGCAGGCGGCTGGCAGAGGTTAAGGCCTGACTTCTGCTCCCAGTTGACCCAGTCGACCCGGGTTCAAATCCGCCTGCCGGCTCCTCGGGTGTTTGAGGAGTGATGAAATGGGAGGTGGCCCCCCATCTTATGGACGGTGTAGGACGTGATAATATCAACTTGCGAGCTGACCAGGAACTAAGTTGATGCGCCGTTGATCCGCTAGATTTGGTTGGATGCTGGTGGTGAGTTGCCGAACCCAACGAATACATTCTGAAGTCGGATGGGGTGACGGATTAGGGTGCCCCTCTAGCAGGGGAGAGCAGGGACTGCCCCGGGAAAGGGGGCCGCTGGCGAAGTTAACCACCCTGTAACAACATACATACACACACACGCACACACATTCCCGTCACCAAGGACACACCGAGTCAGAATCACACAGGCCCAGGGAGGGAGGCAACCCAGGAAGCGAGGGGCTTCTCCGCGCTGCTCGGAAACTCACTTTAGCCGATCTGTCCGAGGCAGGGAGAAGGATGGCGAGTTGGCTTTTGAGCTTGTCACTTGATGTCCCAAGGCCCCAGGCACTTGATATGAGCCGGGGGGTGACCCCATGGTGCCGCGTTGCTGCTCTACATGACGACTGGACAGAAAGAGTTTCTGCGCCTGATCACGTGTGCTGGATCCGAATCGTATTCGCGTGGGGCTCCGGTTTGGTGAGGTGGTTTGGTCGCCCATAGCGGTAATGACCGGCTGGTACACACCAGGTCCGGGTGTCGTGCTAGGGGTCGCCTGCAGGGCGCGGAAATCGGTGAGGACAGATAATGTTTTGGAACGTGAATCATGAAGATAATAACAAAGATGAAGAAAGTAGTTCCAGGATTCAGGTGGATGAAGCAAGCAGTGCCAGCGTGCTTGCCTTCAATCGGGGCGTTTGCGAGAAAGAATAAGCAGCGGCGGTTTCCTTGCGAGCTTCTGCCTGTCGATCCATCGCCCCAGGCAAGTTATATATGTGCCCTGGTCCCTCGCGACATTTGCGGTCGATCTGCGCGGAAGCGTTGAAGTGAAGGGTTCTTAGTAGGCAATTGTAACATCCGTCTGGTTGGCACGTACTATATGCCGTCGATGGTAAAAGCATACCTCGACATGTGTTTGGGACAGGAACAACTTTTCACGATTCTCACGGCTGCCTCCCATAGAAAAAGCTGGTGCATTAGTCTTCTTAGAATCTGCTTGCCGGCCGAACATGCTTCTTCCCCCGGGCCTGCTCCATGGCTGCTTTACAAATGGAGTATCAGAGTCGTGAACTGCCATCCCTAAATGCTATTTTGTGAAGGCCGCGTGGCGTGCTGGCCTCCCCTTCGCGAACAATACGCCGGATACTACTTTCGTTTTGACCAATGCAATCAAAGGAGTGTCGAAGCTTCCTGGAAATATGGAAAAGGTGATTACTCTCGGCGATTACTCAACAGCAAAACAACATTATAATATCATGTGGCGACTTGGTATCTACAGCCTCATGGTCTCATTCAGCACTGAAATTGCCTTAAGGGCATACCACCCACGCGGCCTCTGGGGCGCATCGAAGGTACGAGGGTACGATGTACGGTAGATTACTGCTGCTTGTCTGTTTTGCTTGTTGTTTGAGGTTTTGCAAAGAACGAAGAATACTAGACGGCAGGTTGAAATAAAGATTTTTTGGGACGGCAATGACCTATGTGGAAAGCTGGAAACCAGAAGATGCTTTGTAATTCCGCTGATTTGCAGCATTGCGGCCATGGCATCCAAGGATTTACGCAATTACGCAGTGCACCACTATATGAAACTGTCGTGCAGATCAACCGCCGTCTGTTAGGATGGTCCGATAACGAAGCATATGTCGATTGGCTCTACGTTGTCATCTGCCTGCTGCTGACTTGCATGGCGGGACTCATGAGTGGACTCACACTTGGTCTACTGTCCCTGGATACCGTCGACCTGGAGGTCCTCCTGCGCTCCGGCACGGCGAGGGAGAAGAGATGCGCGCGGAAAATCATGCCCATCATATCTAACAACCATCTACTGCTGGTCACGCTTCTCATGTGCAACGCTGTGGCAATGGAAGCGTTACCGCTTTTCCTTGACAAGTTGGCGGACCCCGTCACTGCGGTCATCGTCTCCGTGACTGCCGTGCTGTTCTTCGGCGAAATCATTCCGCAGTCGGTCTGCAGCAGGTGCAGGGGGTTACTGTGGCATGCCCAAAAACGTAAATCCGCTGTGAAATTAGTCACTAAGGCTGGCGGCGAGGTTAACCATCTTTGCCGAGCAGACCAATGTCCCCTTCCAACCAAAAACATGCTTTTATTTCTCAAGCCCCAACTTCCAAACTGCAATACTAGCACACATACACACAGTTCTCTCCTCTCTCTCTCCCTCTCTCTCTCTCTATTGCTTACCCTTCCACAACCAGCCGCCTTCATCAAGACTCGAAATCCGGTATACAAAACCCTGTACCTCTCCTGTACATTGTACGGCCATTCGTACAGGTACGGCCTCGCCATCGGCGCCAGCTTGGCGCCGCTCGTACGGCTGCTGATGTGGGTATGCAGCCCCGTGGCCTGGCCAATGGGGAAGCTTCTAGATCTGCTCATAGGGCCCGATCATCACACCCTATTCCGCCGCCGCCAGCTCAAGGAACTCGTCAGGTGGGTTTGGTGGCTGAGGGGGCTGGAGGTATGGGTTGGCGTACTACCTATTAAGCGATGATTGATTGGGGCCTGCTGTCAAATATTAGAATGGTTAGATAGTATGAAATAATAATATAAAATATAGTAGTAGGAAAATAGTATTCAAATTGTATTAACTTAATCCAGCCCCTGGCCAGTTTGCAAATAAAGATGTGTATTTATGTGTGTATGTATGTGTGTATGTTATATCATCACCGTCATCACCATCATCACCATCATCACGGTCACCACCACCACCACCACCACCACCATCAGCATCAGCATTATGTAATCCCCCTTTCCTTTCCCTTTCCCCAACAGCATGCATGCCGAGGATGCCGGGATGGGGGGCGCACTAGGCAGGGACGAGATTAAGGTAAGACTCCCGAAGGGAAAGGCGCGGAGGGGGGAGTTGGCGGATTTTGCTTGTCGTACAGCCCGGGGGTTCCGTACGGTATGTAACGGTAACGGTAACGGTCCCGAGCTTTTAAGACTGTAGACATGGTCCCATATTGGCTCTGGGGCTTAGCGCTGCTAAGCAGCAGTAGCAGTAGTAGAAGCAGTAGCGGGAATTTGCTGATTGACGGATTGGCGGCCAGGCGGTGGTGTGAGGGAGGGAGGCGGGGGGGGGGGGAGGGGGGTTTAAAGTGGCGATTGAAGTATGTCGTACCCCCATATTCACATGCAGGATCGTCCAAAGTATTTCCTAGGTTGGCAAGAACCCGCACTTCCCCTTTTTCAGCTCCAAATCAGTACCCACCCCGACTGCTACTGCAACTGCTACTGCTGCTGCTGCTGCTGCTGCTGCTGCTACTGCTGCTACTGCTGCTGCGGGATATACTGGTGGCTGTACTAGTGATGATGGTGATGTTGATGTTGATGGTAATGCTGATGGTGGTGTTGGTCCCCTTCCCCAAGTGCCCCTCCAAGTACCTCCCCACTAACCCCGTACCGGTCGCCTGCCTGCCTGCCTGCCTGCCTGCCCAGGTCATCACCGGCGCTCTGGACCTGACGAGCAAAGTGGCGTTCCGGGCCATGACGCCCCTGGACAAGGTGAGGGAGGGCGGGGTGGGGAGTGGGGCAGGCGGTGAAGTAGCGGGAGGAGTGGGGAGGAGAGGGAGTGGTGCGTGTGTGGGGGGGTGCGAAAGTGTGAGGAGCTGCCGGGAAGCTACCTCCCAATTCCTTGTTGGCATTGCTCCATCATTAATTACTTGTTTGTCACTTCCTTACTTCAATTCATTCAAAGTATTTTCATAATTATTATTTCTATTTTTATTCATTATTATTTCAAAGTTTTTATTCATTATTTCCATTTTTTAGCAATTTACGCCATTTATTTTATTCCCGGCACCAAATTTTTTCTCCTCCCCCTACCTTGCCGGTAGTTAATTTCGTTGTTCGTCTTGCCTACCTCATTTCCCCCTCCCCTGCTCTCCAGGTGTTCATGCTGTCCCATGTCGACCTCCTCGATGAAGTCACGCTCAGGTCCATTCTTCGGAGCGGCCACAGCCGTATTCCCGTACACCGGGCGGGCGACCGGAGGGAGGTGGTTGGGCTCGTACTGGTGAAGGAGCTGTTGCAGTACAGACTGGGCAGCAGTACGGATGTACCGGTGGCCATGCTGCGGATTCGGAGCATACCTAGGTGCGGGTTCTAGAGGGTGGTGGTGGTGTGTGGGGGGAAAGGGGAGAGCATGAGATTTATGTATATATAACCTGTATGCCTGTATATCTGTATATTTATGGCGGATGGTTGGGAAGAAAGGATAGCAGCGGCAGGAGCGCCGTGTATTGCCCTTCGCGCGTTTAAAGTTAGCCTCAACAAGAACTGCTAGGTCGATCATTTTCGCGTCCAACCGACGACGTGTGCCGTGTGCCGGAAAACAGGCTTCCCGCGACCACGCGAATGTACGACATGTTACGGCTCTTCCAGACGGGCCGCTCGCACATGGCCGTACTGACGCAGCCGCCGCGAGGGGAGCTACAGCGGTTGCTACAGCTCGATCCGTCGCTGGGGAGTAAGTTGGGAGGCGGCGGGGGAGTTACGAGCCGCTCGCGAAGCGGACGACGAGGCGGCGGGAAGGGGGAAGGTGCTGCCGGTGGCAGCGACGGCGGCGGCGGCGGCGGCACCGCCGCCGGGCAGGGCGGCACGGCGGCGGCGGTGGCGACCGGCGAGACGACCGTGGGGGCCGCCCCGCTTGACGACGCACGTTCCGTCGCGGCCGAGACAGAGGGTGACGTCGACGGCTTCCTGCCGTACAGCTTGTACGACACGGCTGGCGGTAACATTGAAAATAGCTATCCGCCTAGTGCCCTGGACACGCAGGAGAGTTTTGATTTCGGTGTAGGTGCCGTACCGTACGACGCGCCGACGGCGTCGTTCCGGCATTGGGGCACGCCGCTGGAGACGCCGCGCGGCGAGTACGACGAGGCGAATTCGTCTAACAGGATGGCATCGCCGGCAAGTACGACAGGCGAAGCGGCGGAGCTGTCGCCACAGCAGCCGCGGCAGCCGCAGCCGTCACAGCGTATGAACTCATTGTTTGCGGCTGCACCAGCGGCGGCGGTTATTGTCGCAGAGGCGGCGGAGGCGGAGGCGTCAGCAAGAACTCTTGAAGCTGCTACGTTGACCGGAGGTACGACACCCGGAGGTACGACGACGGCGGCGGCGCCGATGCCGCCGCAGCATGTGCAGCCACTGTCTCCTCTGCTGCCGTTGCATGCTGGCCATCGGGTGAGCCGATTGGGACTTGAGGCCTTGGCGGCGGCATCGACGGCGACGGCGGCGACGGCAACGGCAGCGAGTACGGCGGCGGCGGCGAGCTCAGCTCACGGAAGTGTGGAAACGGCGCTTGATTGTTGTACCGCAGCCACCACTTGGACCATTACCGATGGCGACGGCGCCGCCGCCGCCGCCGCCACCGCCGCCGCCGCCGCGTCAGATTCTGGCCGGTTGCCCGCGGACCATAAAGGGACTGCTAGTTGTGATGCCGGTGGCGGCGAGAGGCAGTGTACGACAGGGCGAGACGGCGCTGATGCCGACGCAGAGTACGACATGGACGAGGTAGAGGAGGGCCGGCCCATTGGCATCATAACCATCGAGGACGTCATCGAGGAGGTGGGCCCACTTGCTTTGGGGGAGTTGGGAGTTGCCGTGATAACAGTCGGCGGCCAGTCATAAGAGGTCGACTAAGACAGTCCACTCTCGAAAGGTTGTTTTATTTTATAGCAACAAAAATATATTATATTTCGCTTATTTTTAGCCCCTTACATATTTCCCTTCTTTTCCTCTGCTCGCTCTGCACTCAAAATTTTAAAATTCAAATTCAAAAAGGAAGTCCCACCCTTTTGTACCCTCCTCGACCTCCAGCTGATTCGCGCCGAGATTGTGGACGAGACCGATCGCTACATCGACAACAACAGGCTCATCAGAGCCAACCAAGCACAGCTAGCCCAATCGCTGCCAGAACATCTTGCGAAGGTGCTGGCGGCCGCAGGTACAGGCAGAAAAGCCGCCGCAGCGGTTGCGGCGGCGGCGGCGGCGGCCGCGGCAGCGGCGGCGGCGTCATTCCACCGCGTCAAATCATCTTCAGACACCGCAGGTACCTCACCTACTCAAACCCAACTACCCCAACCGCGAGAAGTACGACAACACCTCCATCACAACCACCAACACCAACGGCAACGGCACCAGCTGTCTGTTGTAACGAGTGGTAACGATAAATTTATGGGAGGAGGCGGCGGAGGAGGAGGCGGTGCTGGTATGAGTTCGGTTAGGGATCTAAGTCGCGGCAGTAGCAGCGGCCACTGCTCTCAACAGCCGCAGCAGAGCGATGATGCGCTGCGCGTACCCCTACTGCTAGAGGAACAGCAGGAGCAGCAACCGAAGTAGCGTACAACGTGCAAAACAACGCTCCAGCAGAGTATTGGAAACATAACGCAACGCAACGTATTCAGCAATGTCGCTCCTAACCTAGTCCCAGAATCAGATACGTCAGTATCTGACACGTGAAAAATTGGATTTGGATCTGGATTTGGATGGAGCACGTGAAAATTTGGATTTGGATCTGGATTTGGATCTGGAGTGTGCCTATGTAAAGCATCCGCTGTGCGTATTTCAGGGCCATAAACTCATGGACTGGTCTTCGCCAAGCACATGCAAACTTGTGGCTGCTGCAGTACACTGGCCCCTGTCACTGAGGGCAGTAGCATCAGCAGTGGTAGCAGAAGAGCGGTTGTTCTAGCTGCAGCTGTAGCAGCGCCAGCAACGGCAGCCGCGCCGGCTGCAGCTAGAGGCTTCGAAGCTGGGGGGAAGGGAGGCCTCAAATCAGCCGAGGCAGTCCGGAGACCGCGTGGTGGGAGAGGGAGAGGGAGAGGGAGGGGGCTGTAATGTTTTGTGTGTGGGGTGAGCGACAACATGACGGCAGCCACATTCCTCGCCCAACTGATCGACCCACAAAACTCTGTGGTTTACTTCGTGTTGTTTATCTTGCCAATCTCTTTTCCAGTTTTCTATTGTTCTGTTGTTATTGTTGTTTTTTTGTTAGTAGTGTTGTGTCGATTTTATCGAAGCAATGCGTGTGTGTGTGTGTGCGCGTGTGTGCATGTGTGAACGTTACAAGTATCTGACTGGCCAGGGACTGCTGCCCAGCCTCAACGGAAAGACCGCCTAACTTCTCTCCCGCGGACGGGAGAGGGGCGCGAGGGGCCTCTGCTCCCCCCCTAAGCAGCCGAGAGCCTCAGGTCCGCTAGTTCCGCTCTCCCCTCCCCCGGGGGTGGGAGGCGTCGCATGCGCGCACGCTCTCACGAGTCAAGAGGCTCCGTCACGCGAGTTTTCGTTCATTGAGCCTCTGAAACAGGCTACAAGACTCCCCCCCTCTCCCTCCCCGGCCTGATCCGGCTCTTGGGGTGAGGGTTCACTAAGACAGAGGAAACCCGGAAACCCTGTACATACCCTACCGCTCCCTATTAAGGCACGAGCCCCTAACATAAAGCTCGGTATCTCATCCGATCCTGCGTTGCGGGGGAGGGGGAGCGGGTAGGGTTCAAGAAACTCGTGCTAACCACCTATCGAGTGCACGCGATGGGGCCCTGGGCACGGACTAGGCTAGCAGCTATCAGTTCACCGTCGGGGCTAGGGATGCCTTGAGGCAGCACCACACCAGCGGTGCGTGCGTGCGTGTGTATGTATGTGTGTATGTGTGTATGTGCTTACCTGTCTGCTTATGTGTGCATGTTTATCTGTCTGTCGATTAGTACGTGTTGCGCATACTAGGAGTACATACTCGTATTTGGTTCGCCGGCCGGGCAGCGAGGGGGCCGGTAGCTTGGTTAAGGAAACCCAACACGCTCACACTCCGCTTTCCTTTCATCTCCGTACTGTAAATGAAATTTATGATGGAATTCAAAAAAGGGAGAATGGAGGAAAGCAAAAGAAAGTAGCGCTCTGCTGAATTTACAACTCGGTAACGGCGTTTTTGTTGGTGTCATTTGCGACTCTTTATTAAGGTTCATTAGGACGCATCTGGGTGACGGGTGACTCGATTTGGTGTATCCGCGCGCACATCCCCCCATGGCACTTGTCAGGTTCAGGAGCACCATGCTTCTTCGCCATCATCTTCACCTCCGTCAGGTCTTGCGTGTGTCGTGGTGCAATATGTCCTGCAATGTGTCCCTTAATATGGAAGGCCGCTCATGTCCCTTAATATATGGAAGGCCGCATCGTAAGGTGTTCTAAAGTGGGCATGCGTGTAGGTTTGTGTTGTTGTAAATAGTCGCGGGCTGTAGTCGCGATGGCAAGTGGAGGTATGAAAGACCTGGCGGTGTGATAGGAGTTTCCGGTCGTCGTTGCTGGTGATGTGATAGTGCAGCGTTCCATGTCCGATGCTGAAGTGTGAGGAGGTGGAAGGCATGTACGTCGTCTCTGTCCTGTGGTGTTCTATTGATTGCACATGTTCTATAATTAATAATGATCCTCGCTTTTGTGCGCATGTATCGCGAGGCCGACAAATTACAATTACCTGTGAGGCTGCGGTAACTCGCAAAATGTCGTATGGAGGCCTTAACCAGGTCGCGTCCCAGCACAACTCTGCGCGCTTGCCGACGGTGCCCATGGGGACATTGTCTAGGGGAGTCAAGGAATGCGAGCGAAAACGTGCTGGGCAATAGTAGTAATGTGCTCGAGGGCTAACGTAGCTTAAAAGTGAGCAATTTCTTACAATCCGTACGTCTGATAAAAGTTGTGTAAAGTGGGCCCAATGGCAAGTGAAATTAAGGAAATTTCTTAACTTTTCCAGAGAACTTTAGGAACTTTCCCAGCCGCTGGCCAATGGAAAGACCCTCTCAGTGTTTCGGAAAGTGGCTCATGTGGCTCCGGCTCCATATTTCGCAAAATATGGGTGGCTCCATATGGCAGACCTAAACCCCGATTCGACGTCAGGAGCCAAGCGGCTCCATAGAAATTCTGAGAGCTTCACGCAGCAGTAGCCACCCTCCAGGAACATCCATCCTTCGGCGCCTGGTCCGTAGGGGACGGCTGGAGGCCGCAGGACTGATGTACACGCACTTGACCGACCGACCCGCACACCCGCTGGGGTTGGTAGGACTGTGACTTTACGGTACGCAAAACCGAGTAGTGTCAAAGTTGTATTTTGTACTGAAGAACTGGAAAACATGTTCAACCTTAAACGAGTGCGTGTAATGCGATCTTCGGACATTCATTCAAAAAATTCAGAAGGTGGCTCTTAAGGAAAACCCTCCAGTAGCCAAGTGCCTCATACAAAAATAAATATCTCAAAATAATGTCCGAATCACTGGCGGTAACTACAACTCACAGTTTCCTGTGAGGCTGCGACAACTTCAACAGAGCGCCGATAGCCTAGACTCCATAATTTAAATTCCAGCATGGGCAGAAGACCCAATCCAGCCATTCAAGGCGTCTTTTCAACGACTATTCAAACACTACGTCAAGATGTTGCATGCTAATGCCCAACGGCTTAGCCTTGGCAATCGTCCTGTAAGTTCTCCTAACATTTTATTACGTTACCATCTTTAAAGATGCAATAGATAAAATAAAAAACTTGGCGGGCGTGTCGTGGACGAGCGCCAGCCGCACACCACTGTGGGCCTTACATTGCCAAGCATCTGCTTAGAAGAGGACGGCGCATGCGTTGCCATCGCTGCCGCTGAAGCGTTCATAACGGAAGAGACGTTAGCTTGGATGGATGACGACAACCGCATGCGAGCATTTCCATTTCCCGAGTGCGAAGCAGCTTTTAGACGACCATCAGTGTAACACAGCAAAGGCGTAACCCGGGATGCTCAGATGGGCCTTGCGTCGTAACAATCAGTGCCTATTATGATTATGACCGTAACTACAGGTAAAATCTTGCTACGCAGAATTTGGAGCGCTTTTCCGAATTCAGCGCTTCCATCGGTAGCAAAATTGCCTTGTATTTAACTAGTGCAAAGAGGTGTGGGTGAGGGAGGCATACACAGCGATGAGTAATACCACTAAGATTACTACAATGACATGTGGCCCTGTTCACGAAAACAAAGAAACCTTGTACGACAGATGACGAACCGTTTGACGAACAGAGACGAACCGATGGACACACGCTGAAAGTCGCTGCATTTTATTAACCTTGAGCACAGGGATTAACATTTCCGATGCGCAGGTCGCACAATGTAGAAGCTGTTACACAGAAAGGCACAAATATCAACTACTACAATTACGCGCCAAGCGCACAAGAAATCGTTTCAGCGTCCAGTAACTATACAGTTGGTATCGTGACATCGTATATGCTTACGATCGTCAGTTCGACCCAGACGATCTACCAAAGAATATCGCCTTAGTCAATTGTCAAATGTTCAGTAGTATATCTCGTTTGGGACGACTCTGTGCCTAGACGGCAAGGCGCATGTGTGGGCGGCACATAACATGATGCGGACCTGTTCACTCACAGCCCGAGGTAGGGTGATGGTAGGCACAGCCTGCAGGTGTATGTGGCCGGAGGCGGATACCTTCAAAGGGGAAGGACTGCTTTGTAGCTGGTATTGTAAGTACGGCTCACTTATCTACTAGAAATATGCGCGAAACGCTCTATCAGCATCTCGAGAGGACTTTCCAGCGGCCAGCTACTGCACAAAGACTGCTCATTTCGGTTGCGACGTGTTAAGTGGTCTTGCCATGGTAGTATAGTAGTAGTTACATTCGAGCCCGAATAGCTCGTGCGCAACGAGCTGACAAGCGCTAGCAGCAAAGCACTGTCGTGACCACAACAACAAGGCTTCGTGTACGCATCTTTGCTGGAGAAGCTAGCTGAGAGGCCAGTTGCGTCAGTTGCGTCAGTTGCGTCAAGGTCGAAAACGTTAGCGCTCCATCGCAGCATCTTTCAAACAGGCTTTCTCGCGCGTTTCCTACGTTTTCGCGCCCTTCCCGCGCATCTCATCACTTTTCTAATCTAGCCTAGTTTGCCTGCAAAGACTGCGGAGAGTCCTTGCCACTGAATTGCGTAAAGAGCTCGAATACATGAGGTGGCGCCCTACGTTGGTCATCACCTTGCCTCTGGAGCTGAGGAAACACGCAAATGCTGCCGAGTCCAAGATCGTGCAAATCTGGACTAGGTTCGTCGTACTAGAGCTCAGGATGAAGCCTCGCCGGTGGCTAAAGCAGCAGCGAAGAGCTCCGTCAGCGCCTATACGAGCCAGACACATGTCAACGTCCCTTACGGAAAGTATTTTGAAATAATTATATCTTATGTAATTGAGTCCAGACCTTGATAATGACGGATTCGGTCCTGGACCTGCATCTCGCAATCCAATTTGACTTTACCTTCGACTCAGTTTGAGACCTATCGCATCGGCATCACTCCACAGTCCTCAAATCACTCAAATCAACCATATCTTAAGTCGCCGCTGTTTGTGGACGCATAATTACCTTACAGAGGGCTTTCCTGAAGCAACCATGAGCACTAGAAAGATTATGAGGTTATCGGACATGGATGACGGCCCCCCACCGGCGTCAGTCGGCCATTCGTTTTCGAGCTCCCGCCACCATTCGAGCTCCCATAACACTGGTGAGTGTGTCGCCGTATAATTGTGGCATCGTTCCATGCCGCTTGAACGACCGAACACATGAAAACACAGCCCTAAAAAATGGAAAATTGTCGAAAATACAGATTCTGAGCGGGGCATGCGTTACCTCATCTTTTGCAACGTCATGCCTCTGGGTTACATGCGCGTCCTTGTTTCAGTCCGTGAGAAGGAATGCTTGAAAACTTGGATCCAACGGAATCTGTATTTTTAATCAGAACACACAGAATTTGCAATGTTGGGCTATATTTTTCATGTATCGGCTGTGTTTTTACTTCTTCGTTCGTTCAGGCTTGCATTCGCGCACGCCTGAAGGTCGTTGACACGATGGATAGATCATCGTTGCAGTTGCACGTTCCGGATTGAGCTCTCGAGTCATTGATTGCGGCCTTAAAACCTCTTGCGTGCAATGGCCCTGATGTGATCCGCCCTGAAAACCAATTTGCTAGTGACGCCTCGAGTTGAAAGCAGTGGGCCTGTGGTGGTGCAATCGGACCCACGGGTCGCGCCTGCTCATGTCGGCAACGTCCCACGACTGTCGGTTCGAGAGGCGCTCCGCGGCAAAGCCATCCTGATGACAGGCAAGGATAAAATTGATACCTTCAGACTGATTATTTTGGAAGCCACACGCGTTCCGCCTGTCGGTGAAGTGCTTGACGGATGTATTGATGGTATGCGGCAATAGGGCATGACATAGGCGCGAACCGAATGAAAAGGATAAGCTTATGTTTTGTCGTGAATTTTTTGGCTTATACATTTAAGGAGAAATTGTAAGTTTAATTCCCAAGTTCGAAAGTTTGGCCAAAGCGTTTGTTGTTGCGAAGCCGAAAGTTTGGCCAAAGCGTTTGTCGTTGCGAAGCCTTCGCAGGGAAGGCCATTTATTTGCATGCACGTTTCCGCGTTTGAAATTATGAAACTAAAAATATATGCTTAAGTTTTAACATAAGAATAATATTTTTTTGCGAAATCGCACACGCTATCTCGCCGCTCTTCACCAAAAGCCGTCTCTTGTCACCGATGTACAGAGGTGATACGACCATCACGTACAACCACCTTTTCTCTCTCCTTGATCCTACCTCGATCAAACATCACATCTCCAACCTCCGTCATTTACGGCGTGCAGGCGTCACCGGATATGTCGGCAGTGTGATTCTCGAGCAGCTGTTGCGGGTGGCCGGCGCGCAAGTGGGCACTGTGTACATCCTCGCCCGGTCGCGGGACGGCCGCAGCGCGCAGGAACGTGTTGGCCGGGTGCTGGGCTCCGGCCTGTTCGACTTGGTGCGACGGCAGTACTCGGACACGCTGCGAAAGGTATGAGAGGCACACCTGGTTGTGCTGCGCGGTACACGGCGGCTTGGGCTTGGAATTGTGGTGGAGGGGGGGACACCTAGCGAGGGCGGGTTTTTTACATGAGCATGGTGGTGTGGAGGGACACGTAGAGCGGTTGGGTGGTTGCGAAGAGCAGCATTTGGAGATGTGTTTCGGCAGGAGGATAAAAACACCTGTTTTGCTGGGGTGTTGCTAGGGTAAAAGCCAAATGAATGCGGGAATATGCCCGGGGCAATGGGTTTTGGGATTAGGACTTCGGGCGGGGTTTAGTTAGGTGGTTGGTGGTTATCTGGGGATACAAAACTGCTCGAAAAGGTGTCCGGAGCAGTTCTCTTTTTAACTTTTTTAACTTTTTTTAACTAATATATTCCTTCTGGTCTGATCCGGAGGAAACCCTAGCCTTTTGCTGCTGCTGCAGCTGCTGCGTGCGGTCCGCACAGCTGCAGATCAGTGCGGAACTCTGACATTTGGGGAGCGGTTCGACTCGCGCTCAATTGCACGGCACCTTGTACCGCTCGCTCGATTTGATTGTCTGCTCTGTCTCGCTTCCGAAACCCCCATCCCCACCGGTGCAGGTGGTTGCCCTGGACGGCGATCTGTCGTACCCGAATCTGGGCCTTTCGATGGGGGCGTTGGCGGAGCTCGCTGCGGAGCCCTCCATAATAGTCATTCACAGCGCGGCGAGGTTGGTCGGTTTTTGGGGGGGGGGAGAGGGATTTTACCTTTTCGGCCATATATATCCGAGTGGCTGCTTGCATTTATTTTATCTTAGACCAACAGAGTAGAAAAGAGATACAAAACAATGCTAGAGAAAGGTTAAGAAGTCTGTGATAAGGGAGGAAAAAGTGCGGGGGATTTGCGGGGTGTCAGACGGCGGCCGCCATACACACGGTTTACTCGGTGGAGCAATATGCTGCTGTTTTTTTATTTTACGTTGTTTTACGTTGTTTTGCGTTGCCATGTGCTGATGCGAGGGCCGCGGCGCACATGCATTGTGCAGTGCATGAACAGTCCATGATGGATTGCAGTCCATGATTGAACTTCAGAAAACTGTATTCGATCCCATTGGATTTTCCCCGGTTTTTCCGCCTGGATCCAGCATTGCACTGGACGACCCGATCCAAGACGCTCTGCGCAGTAACTACGAGGGCACCCGCCGGCTGTTGGAGCTGGTGGAGCAGCACCTGCCACGATGTGGGGGCTTCGTGCACGTGTCAACCACCTACGTGGGCATGATGCTCCCGCAGAACAGCTGCCTGCCGGAGAAGAGATTACCTCTCATGTATGGGGACCAGCCGGTATGTCGGTGGGGGTTGTGTGTGTGGGGGGGGGTGTGGGGTAAAAAGATGGGTTTACACGAATCACTGGTGAATGCAGCTCTTACCAGAGATATAGACGGATGGACGGTCTTGGAGTGTGGGGGGGGGCCCGCCTGCCTTTGAAGAATGCGTTGATCGGTCCGTGGGGAAGCGGGGGGGGGGTGTTGTGGGAGGACAGGGGTCCTGGGAGTGCACTGGGCTGGGGTTGTTGGATGGTGCTGCTGAGGGCGGCGAAGGGTCTAAATTTGGACATTTTTTGGACAATCGGATTCAATTCACAGTATCTGCGTCGTCTCGGTGTACCAGCGGAACCTTGGTGGCCAGTCGAGAACATATTTTGTTTGTTTGTTTGTGGGGGTGGGGATCGGAGCACTGGCACGTACTGGAACTTGAAAAAGGGCAAACCAGCAACGTTTTGGAATTGTCGTTCATTTGCTCTTTTTTGACATGCATACATGTACATATCTACACATAGGCATCCGAAAAACCGAAGACGGCGAGGAAAAAAACCTGATGGCTCGCTCGTCTCAGTGCGTCGCATGCCTATATTGCATAGGTCAGGCACTACTGGTAGAGCATGTACTGATGCCCTTGGAGGTTCCGGGATCGAGACCTGTCAGGGTCGGATATCTTTCCGATGGTGGAAGGCAAAAGTGCCCCTAGTCGATGGACCCTGGGATGAAGGTGACCTGCGAGCTGACCAGGAATGAAGTTGACCCGCCACCGTTGATCCGGCAGATTCCGTTGGATGCTGGTGGTGGGTGCGAAATCTAAGCGGTCCACTGAGAAGTTGACTAGGGTGACTGGATGAGGGTGCCCCGAAATACCGGGAAGGCAGGGTTTCGCAGGGTAGCGGCCGCAGGGTGAAGATATCCCCCCCCCTGTCCCATACACTTCATCTGGCCATCTGCACAGGCGGATCACGTCCGACTTGCTCGCGAGCTTCTGGCGGCCGACAAGGAGAAGGCGGACAAGCGAGCGGCGCTGCTATGCAAGAACTGGAACCTGTGCAACACTTACCTGGTGGGTCTGTTGCTGTTGCTGTTGCTGTTGCTGTTGCTGTTGCTGTTGCTGTTGCTGTTGCTGTTGCTGTTGCTGTTGCTGTTGCTGTTGCTGTTTTTATCTGTCCAGGAATGGCGTCCACGGGATGGATATGGTTAGAAGTTTGGGGAGTAGAGGAGTAGAGCTTAGTCCCCTTTACCTCCTCCCCCTCCCCCCACCCCACCCACACACCCGTACAACGATCGTCGCCACCCTCCTGTAGTTACGCGGTGTTGGTTGTGGCGCCTCAGGCCCCACTCAGAGCGTCTGTCCACCCCCCTGTCCTCCGCAGCTGAGCAAGCACCTGTGCGAGGCCCTGGTGGATCAGTACCACAGGGAGGGCCGGATCGCGGACGGCGGGGTGGCCATCGTCAGGCCCAGCCTGGTGTCAGCACTCGCAGGGCCGCCGTACCCGGGATATGTGGGCAACCTGGCAGGTGGGGAGCGGGCGGGACGGGGGAACGGGCCCCCTTGCCGCGGGAGCGAGAGGCGTCCCAACTCTTGCACCCCAACCACTGTGTGCTTCCCCCCTTCAAAGGTCCCTCCGGCTACATGACCGCCTTCGCTCTGGGCTTCTTCAGCAAGAATGCCTCTGCCTGGCACCCCTACAACTTGCTGGACTCGGTGCCCTGCGATATCGTGGCGAGTGTGGCGCTGGGTGTTGCCGCCACTCTGGCTGCCGGCATTCGCTGCAGGGAGCAGTTCTACGAGCTCGTGGATTCCCCGGCGCCCCCCCGGGCTTCTTCGTCCGGGGCCACCACCCGCGACGGCGTCATTGATACAATTTGGCAACCGGTAAATCACAGCGGCAATGAGCAAAGCAAAGAATCCGTCGGTCTCGCAGCCGTCAACGAGGGGCTGCACGGCCAGGCCCTGCAGCGGCAGCGGCGCCATGACGCCGGCCCTGGGGAGATTCTCGTGTTCCATGCTGCCACGTCCACCGTCAACCCCATCCTGCATTTCGAAGCATACGAGATGGCTTACCGCTTTTTCAAAGTGCACACGCCCAAGTTCCGCCTTGGAGGGTGGGTACTGTGTGGCGTATACCGTGTGATATGGCACACGCCTTTTGTCCTTGATTTTGCTGTTGCTAATGTTGCTGGGAAAAAAGGAATGCATGCTTCGGATGAATGATGGATGGGCTTGTAAACGATAGAATGGATGGTTTTGCTATTTTGTTCACGTTGGGGTTTAGGGGATGCAGGGGATGTAAACGGGGCGCAGACGGGTCGGGGGAGGATGGAGCAGTGCAGCTGCCACCTGTCGGGAGCCAGGAATGAAAAGGTCTTTATCTACACCACGCATGGTGGGTACAATTGAATAGTATCTAAGCGAAGGCTTATTAATGTCGCTTAGACGTGCAACGAAGTCTCGACATGTTGTAAGAGCCGCTGCTGTTGCGGCTGTTGCGGCTGCTGCGGCTGTTGCGGCTGTTGCGGCTGTTGCGGCTGTTGCTGCACAAGGCACAAGGCGTACGCTGCGACATGTACGAGCAACTTAGATCTGCTGCAATGAGTGCACAATGGCGGATGGATACGCATCCCTCCCTTGACTTCTTCTTTCTTGCAGCTATGCTACGGGCCCCGTGGACTACAGCCCGGTGCCGTGGAAAGTGGCCCTCAAGAAACGGATTACTGGCGTCAAGGTGAAGATGGCTGCGCAGTTGCTGAGCTGCTTCGGGGAGAAGAGAGCGGCTCGAAGGTGTGTGTACGTGTGTACGTGTGTGTATGTGCATGTGTACATGTGTACGTGTGTGTGTGTTCCGTACATCGCCCGTACGCATCCGTCTACTTCGCTGCATATGCGCCCCTCATGAAACTACCACACGGCACAGGTTGCGTGTGGGTTTCGCCGCCTGGGATTACGCCAACGACGCCAAGCACGACAAGACCGTGTTTGTGTCCGTCAAGAACGTGCTCGCCCTGGAGCGCCTCCTGCCCGCGGAGGAGCTGCAGATGATGCCCCTGGTGTGGCGGGGCAGCTGGACTGAGTACGGCAACACGTGCGTAGGCTCTCGGGAGAACTGGCAGAGAGGGCAGGGAGGAGGGTTGCCTGTGGGGGGATGGTTCGGCCGGGGCACGGATTTGGGTTCGGGTTTGGGGGTTCATGGGGCGGCGCATTTCAGAACGGCATCTCGGTCGTCCGAATGCACCTATGCACTTCCCACCCATCCGCCCGCCGGCCCACTCGCAGGTACATGGCGGCCGTGGGCCGGCTCTTCATGGGGCTCCCCGTGCCGCCCTCCACACCCCAGCTACCCCACCGCTTCGCCTACATACCCTTTGTAGTCATACCCGAGAACGAGCTGCCGCCGTTGGCTGGCACCCGCGGCGTGCAGGCGCCAGCCGCACCACCGCTGGCCGCTGTGGAAGCTACGGCGCCGGTGGCTGTGCCGGTCCACAGCGCCGCCGTGGCCGCGACGCCCGCAGCTCGGGGAGGTGTGGTCGGGAAATTGAAGGAGCAGGAGCGGGAGAAAGAGGCGGGGTCCGAGGCGAAGGTCATGGAGGGTAAGGTGGTGGTGAAGGCGCCAGCAGCACCTGATAGTGCGGTCCTGCCGCAGAATGGCTGGGGGCGTGCACCGCAGGTCGAGCTGACGGGAGTGGCCTAGGTGCGTTTGTGAGCGTGTAGACAGTCGTGTTGGCATTTTCGCGTAGGGAGGAGGGACAGATGTCGAGTGGCTGAAGCATGGCAAGGTCCACTTCGCAGCAGATTCTGTACAGCAGGCTAAAAATTGCTTGAGGGTTAGTTCCCAGTTACATATGTATTTTTTTAAGTCATTGGGCTCGCTCGGAATTGGGTGTTTTGCGTGGGAGTTTTTGAGCCGTGAGTAGCGAGCAATAGCAATAGCAATAGCAGCAGCAGGTATCATCACAGCTGTAGGGTTGGTTGATTGGCCAGCAGCAGCTCAGCTGCTTGCGCGACTCACAATTGCCGTGCACGGTGAGTAGCTTCAGACTATGCAGCGGCTTCGTGTTGTGTAGTAGCCTGCCGCGCGGTCGCGGCGTGAGCGGAGCAAAGCAAGCTGGTGGGGTGTTCGCTGATGAAGAGATGGTGTGAAGAGATTTCTTATTCGACGCGCCGCTGTGCCGCTGATGATCTTGAACGGGCCTCACTGTACCCTTGATGATGAATCGTGCAATAAGGGCATGCGCTGTGCACCCAAAGCCTGCTCGAAAGAAGCGTAAGGATTGCTCGTGTCCGGTGTGATAAATAAGACGCAGGAGTGCGGTGACGCGGCGATGATGGTAGTGATGCCGCACACGGTTGTTATGCATATTTGCTTTTGTTACGTCCCGACCCGACTCGATTGGGCCTTACGAATGGGCTGTGCGAAACTATAGCGAAGTTTCTTTTTTGAGGAAAAAATGATGATTGGTTGATTGGATGTCGTCCCAATTGAAAGTTGGATGGGAGCAGCTACAAATGATTGCGTTGCGGGTTCATGAGAATGACTTGAGAATTTCAAAAGCGCAGTGGAGAAAAATGGCGGGTTCGACAAGCATAATAATATCCCTGCGATGGGGTACGTGGGAGCAGGTAAAGGCTGTAGTGAGGTGGCATCCAAGGAGTGCCGTGTCGAGGGCGTTTAATTTGCTACGATGGAGGAGCTGAGTGAAGCTCAAAAAAGAAACTGAAATGAAGCCTGCTGTAAAAAAGACAGCTGGAGCTTTCATTGGTAACTATGCGATGACAGGGGGGAAGAAAGAACAATACCCATCATGTGTTCATCCGGTATAATACATACACAACCACACCGGAAGAGTTGTTAGCGTCCGTCGTCATGATGTGTTGTACCAGTGTTGCTCCGAGACGAAAGGTAAAAGCAGTAAAATAACAAGAGCGTGCCACTGTCGTGACTGTTGGCTGATACATGCGATGCACAGGAGCCGTTGGGGCTCTCCACTGTAATTGCTAGTACTACTGATACGTAGAAAAAACGCGTCGGCGTAAACTGTCTTTTAGACATCGACTTTCCAGAATCCGAGCTTTTTCCCAGGGTGGTCAAATACTGGTCAACTGAGAAGGAAAATGAGGTCAACGTCAGCATCGCAGACTGCGGCAACGTCAGCAACTCCAACAGCGCTGAGCAGTGCAGCGGTTAAGTCCACCTTCCATCATTGCTACCGCGGTGCAGCAGCCGGTGAACAAGGTCAGGAATAGCACACTCCTGTATTCGCAGTCGTTGTCGTTATGTCATTATTTCTAAGCCCACCCTGAAACCAATCCGCCCCGTGACAGCAGCACAAGTTGACAGTGATGGCCTGGCGATAGCGACTGACCCACGGGTCGCCCCTGTTGTTGTTGCCAACGTCCCACGGCTGTCGGTGCGAGAGGCGCTTCGTGACAAAGCCGTCCTGGTAACAGGTGAGATCCAGCCGGACCCGCACTCTCCGGCGTTAGGCTCGTCTAGCCTATGACCACCGGATGCGGACCACGCGTCTGTCGATCCTGTGTTGACCACTCTTGGAGCGTTGCTCTCGTTGACCCCCGATCGGGGTCCAGGTCCACTGCAACAATCGCACCTTGCCTACGCAGATTCCTACGCAACATCTGTAAATTTTCCAACCGTCACTTACGGCCGTAGCTGTAACCGTAGCTAACGGTTGCTAACGGTTGCTAACGGTTGCTAACGTAGCACGTCTCCACATGCTGCCCCTCTGGGTCCGTCCATCATCGCACAGGAGCCACCGGCTACATAGGGAGCGTGATCCTGGAGCAGCTGTTGCGGGTTGCTGGGGCGCAACTGGGCACTGTGTATGTGTTGACTCGGTCACGTGGCGGCCGCAGCGCGCAGGAGCGTGTGGGCCGGGTGCTGGGCTCCGGCCTGTTCGACTTGGTGCGACGGCAGTACTCGGACACGCTGCGAAAGGTAAAGAGGTGCATGACCTTGGGATTGAGGGGTCTTGAATGGATATCATTCCGGACTCTTCCACAGATGATGGGTGATGGCAGGGCGAGAGGAATGATGAGCAGCAGCACCGCCTTCCGGCGCTAACTGGCTCAAGTTTCTGCTTCCGTTTCTTCACGACGCACGACGCGGCTGTACGCAGGTTGTTGCGCTAAACGGTGATCTGTCGTACCCGGATCTGGGCCTCTCAACAGCGGCGTTGGCGGAGCTCGCGGCGGAGCCCTGCATAGTAGTCATTCACAGTGCGGCGAGGTTGGTCGGTTTGGGGGAAGGGCGGCTTAAATACCTGGGGGCGCTACGTGGGTATGGTATGGGCGTCGGGATGAGTTTGGGTTTGAGGGGAGGGAGAGAGGGAGGAACAAGCGGGGGCAGGGGGGGGGGTTGGGGGGAGCTCAAACCCTGAGAAGCACCAGACTCACATCGAGGCGCGGCGGGCGAGGTGACGCAAGGCCCAACTGGTTCCATCTCGGGGATCAATCTAAAATATATCTGAAATATAGGTCAGGTCATGCGCCCGATAAGGATGTGCGATTGCCCTTCAAAACGTTGCTCTTTAAGGCTTCTAGGCGATCGAACGAAAAACAACACCCGTATGCTCTTGGTTTTCAATCCTGGATTTTCCCCGGTTTTTCCGCCTGGATCCAGCATTGCACTGGACGACCCGATCCAAGACGCTCTGCGCAGTAACTACGAGGGCACCCGCCGGCTGTTGGAGCTGGTGGAGCAGCACCTGCCACAATGTGGGGGCTTCGTGCACGTGTCAACCACCTATGTGGGCATGACCCTACCGCGGAATAGCTGTCTGCCGGAGAGGATGGTTTCGCTGATGTTTGGGGATCAGCCGGTGGGTCGGTGGGTCGGTGGGTCGGTCGGTCGGTCGGTCGGTGTTGGCAGCTGTCCACGGTCGCCATTCTGTTCAACACCATGCATAAGGGCCCTCCACGTCGGCGCTCCACACCAAACTTCCCAAATCCCCGAGATCTCTGTTTCGTATTACATCATACCCGGATTTTTCTGCATGCTCGAGACTTGAAATCAATGTCAATGCATGCTTCTGTCGCACCAGGTTGACCATGCGCGCCTGGCTTGTGAGCTATTGGCAGTCAACGAGAGCCAGGCGAAGACGAGATCTAGTCTGCTGTGCGAGAACTGGAACCTGATCAACACGTACCTGGTAGGTGTGGGGTCTGTGCAAGTGCGGGGTGGCTGCCCCGAGAGTTTCGTTCCGGTTGGCGGAGCGGTTGCGAGGTTGGGCCCTCCAGGAAGGAAGGAAGGAAGGAAGCACACGGAGCTTGAAACCCCCTTGAGTTCCCCCCCCCCGTCCTCGCAGCACCCTAGGCAGTGCGCTCTTATGTCGGGGCGGGGTCCGACGTTGGGCGATGTTGGCACCTTGCCAGCTATTTAATTTGTTTAGTGCGGGAAAAGGATGTCCCCACATAGCTATGCTATGCTGTAAAAAAAGCTGTGCTGTAGTTACGCGGGGTTGGTTGTGGCGCCTCAGGCCCCACTCAGAGCGTCTGTCCACCCTCCTGTCCTGTCCTCCGCAGCTGAGCAAGCACCTGTGCGAGGCCCTGGTGGATCAGTACCACAGGGAGGGCCGGATCGCGGACGGCGGGGTGGCCATCGTCAGGCCCAGCCTGGTGTCAGCACTCGCAGGGCCGCCGTACCCGGGATATGTGGGCAACCTGGCAGGTGAGGAGCGGGCGGGACGGGGGAACGGGCCCCCTTGCCGCGGGAGCGAGAGGCGTCCCAACCACCCAACCACTGTGTGCTTCCCCCCCTTACTGCGGGAGCGAGAAGCGCACGGAGGAAGCGCGGCCGCGCGACGATTGAGCGGCTGACTGGATACGTAGATGGTGTTAAAAGAGTACAGCTAAAAATCGATCGGTTGCGTGTGTGTGTGTGTGTGTGTGTGTATGTTACATGGTTGGGGGTGCGTGACCCCATACCTGTAAAACTGCCCATACGAGCCGAAGGCCCGATCGGTTGCAGACGGCAGCCGACACTCGTCGTGAACGTTCAGTGAGTCAACCTTTTATCCAAGAGAGCAAGAGCGAGGAGGATCCACGCTCCTTCCTGGGAAAAAAGGACCGGAGCGTTCATTCAAAAGTGGTGGGGCATAGATATCTCCCCAGAGCTATGCTTTATTTTCCTTCACCGACGGCGGTGAGAGGGACGATACCCGCTTGTGTCCACCATGGACAATGACCGCACAGTGCGGAAGCCTGCAGATGTATCGTGGTTGTGCGTCGTGCCCTCCCGAGATGCTTACGACTGCACTCTGTGTATCTTGGTCTTACATGAATACGCGCACCGTACCAAGGCATTTCCTGTAATAAATCATCTCATGGATGCACTACGGAGGCTGCAGTAGAAATGCCTGCATGCTCCACGGCCACTTCTCTCGTAAGTGGGCCCTGGGCCCTCCGTCTTCTCGCCGCCGCTGCACGGTTCCTGATCTCTCGCGCCGGCCCTTATTTTTTTCCCCGCCTTTTGAGGACGTCTTGGTGGCCCACATTTCCCCTACAGGTCCCTCCGGCTACATGACCGCCTTCGCCCTAGGATTCTTTAATGACAATTCAGTTGCCTGGCACCCAAGGAACCTATTGGACTCGGTGCCTTGCGACATCGCGGCGGCAGTGACCCTGGGTGCTGCCGCCACTTTGGCAGCGGGCATTCGCTCCAGGGAGCAGTTCTACGAGCTTGTCAACACCAGAGAGCAGCGACGCAATGTCCGCGATGCGGCCGTCTCTACGGCCGCCTATCCTCCCTGCGAAGAATCTTCTGTGCAGATCCGCATCCGAAATAGTGAGGACCGTAGCCATTGGCCCATCGGGACCGCGGCCAGCAGGAATTTGGGTGTGGACATTAGTCAGCGGCAGCGTGACAGGGGGGAAATCTTGGTGTTTCATGCCGCCACGTCGACCATCAACCCCTGCATGCACTACGAGGCGTATGAGATGGCTTACCGCTTTTTTAAAGTGCACACGCCCAAGTTCCGCCTTGGAGGGTGGGTATGGGAAACGCGCGGTTGCACCAGAACGATAATCGGTTCGAAACAAGTGCCAGTTGCTCCGTTTGGGCCTTGACACTTAGCTTCTGTTCTGCAGTTTTCGGATTATGGCACCCGTTGCCAAACTGATGGTTAACTACTGTATATGTTTCAATTTTGACAAGTCAAATATGCGCGGAGGATTGGTTTTAGTTACAAAGTTTATGCAGATCGTTCTTTTATCGATGCTTTATAAGATTTTGTACCCGTAAAGGATTTAAGGAAAGCGGGAAGGTTGTCGATAAAGAGTCCGGAATCGGAATGTTTTGGCGACCGCAATTGCAGCAGCGGCTACAAGGATTAGGGTCAAATGGGTAATTTTGAAGGCACGCGATGAAAATCATGATATTATACCAGCCTTTAGTTCTCAGGGACGGATTTGGCGTTTGGACGTTGGTTCTCTGCTAAAATTTGACCGCCAGCAGGATTCGTACAAATGCCCGTCGAAAGCTCGAAACCCGAAGAGCCTCTTAGATTTCCTTGAAATACTGTTCCGGCAAAATATGCTTCAACACAAGCGTTCGCGCAGATACGTCAAACCCTACGCAAGTTACCGACCGGTCCCGTGGAAGGTGGACATCAAGAAGCGAATTACGGGGTTCAAGGTGAAGATGGCTGCGCAGTTGCTGAGCTGCTTCGGGGAGAAGAAAGCCGCACGAAGGTGTGTGTACATGTGTACGCGTGTGTGTGTGTTCCGTACATTGCCCGTACGCATCCGTCTACTTCGCTGCATATGCGCCCCTCATGAAGCTACCACACGGCACAGGTTGCGTGTGGGTTTCGCCGCCTGGGATTACGCCAACGACGCCAAGCACGACAAGACCGTGTTTGTGTCCGTCAAGAACGTGCTCGCCCTGGAGCGCCTCCTGCCCGCGGAGGAGCTGCAGATGATGCCCCTGGTGTGGCGGGGCAGCTGGACTGAGTACGGCAACACGTGCGTCAGTTGGATGCGCAGAGGGAAAGCGACAAAGAGCACATGAGGGGTAGAGGATTAGCGGGACGGGACGGATCCTGGCATTCAGTGACTGTAACAACTGCACACATATATAGTAAAAAGAATAATGTAATATATAAAGTATATGATTAAACTTTGTATTAGATCGTTGTTATTACTTGTATTGAGACTATTACTCATGTTACTCATTGTAACTTGTAACTTGTATTACTCATGTGTAACAATAGCAATATAAATATAAACGATAACAACGGTACAATACAAAGCTTAATACAAAGGATATAGTGCAATGTATATATTATATCACAATATATGTATATGAATACAGATATTATATTACATTATATCATGTTATAATATAATATAATATAATATAATATAATATAACATAACATATTATGTATAATATATTATAATACATATATAATATATATTATGTATATATTATATATTATGTATAATATATAATATACAATATTATGTTATATTATATTATATTATATTATATTATATTATATTATATTATATTATATTATATTATATTATATTATATTATATTATATTATATTATATTATATTATATTATATTATATTATATTATATTATATTATATTATATTATATTATATTATATTATATTATATTATATTATATTATATTATATTATATTATATTATATTATATTATATTATATTATATTATATTATATTATATTATATTATATTATACATACTCGTCTTTAATTCAAGCTAATTTATGTTTCCCACCCATCCGCCCGCCGCCCCACTCGCAGGTACATGGCGGCCGTGGGCCGGCTCTTCATGGGGCTCCCCGTGCCGCTCTCCACACCCCAGCTACCGCACCGCTTCGCCTACATACCCTTTGTAGTCATACCCGAGAACGAGCTGCCGCCGTTGGCTGGCACACGCGGCGTGCAGGCACAGGCACCTGTGCCCGAGGGACCGCAGCCGCCGTCGGCGCCCGCGATAGCGCCCGCGGCCGGGGCAAAGGGAAAGCCCATAATGAAACAACCTGACCAGAGCCAGGATCAGGAGCTTGAGGAGGAGCTGGGATCCGAGCCGAAGGTCATGGAGGGTAAGGTGGTGGTGAAGGCGCCAGCAGCACCTGACAGTGCGGTCATGCCGCAGAATGGCTGGGGGCGTGCACCGCAGGTCGAGCTGACGATGGCAGTGGCCTGGTAGGAGCTGCTATGAGCTGGCAGCGGGTCATACGAGATGGAATATGAAAGGCGGAGGTAGGAGCGGCACACGGCGCTCGTAGCAGCGAAGGTTGTGGTGTCGTTGACGGTTGACGAATGTCTGTTGGCGTGGGTGGTTAGGTGGTTTTAGGTGGGCGAAATGTTGCGCGATCGCGAGGTGCAGTCGACCTACTTAGGCATAGATGCACGTCTCTAAAGCTACATGCATCTAGCTATAATATATATAGCCTTTGGTCCATGTTCTTTATATTTCGATTTAAAATTTCGATTAAACAATTTATGTTCATGTATTAAGCATTCAATGGATGCAAGGTTTGTGGTATCTTCCAGATGGTATAAGAAACGTTTCCCTTTTCTGTGAAATTGCACTTGGGTAGGTAAGGACAATCTCCGCACCCTATTTTTACTTTCCAATAAATCATCCCTAAGGCACTGATTGGGTCGGTAACCCCTGGGTTACCCATCGGTTACCCACCAACACCCCGTAGCCCATTGGTAACCCCCTTGTAAGTTCGTACCCAGCAGGAGGGGTAACAGGGCCCCAGGGTAAAATCCCCTCCGTTGCCCTGGACTATGGACATGGGCCTGTAGGCTACTTATCTTATTTGCTGCGCACTCTGTGAATTACTCTTAGTACATTTCTGTAAATGTACATGTTACATGTACATGTTGAACCTACAGTATCCCGGTAGCGCGGGAAGCATCGTTCGCCAATATTAATTAAAGGCCTCTAACGCTGCAGGAAAATTTTAGTAGAAGATTTAGAACTATGTATGTATTTAGTTTTAGCGTTTGTTCCCGCTTTGAGGGCGTGAAATGCCGTGTCATTGTCCCTAATAAGATTATTCATTCATGTTCATACAGTTCGAAGCGGATTGGGGAACGCAATTTAGCTTGAAAGCCATTGTGTCTCTGGCTAGTTCTGAAAAAAAATCAATCATGGATTAGTAAGTTTCCCTTTCCCTTCTTCTCCGGTCAATCGCAGACACCTCCGCGCCAGGCTCTGCCAGCGGCAGGCTTGTGGCAAACGGCCGCTGAGGGGCGGCTGGACAGCCGGCGGGCCGGGACGGGGTTGGTTCGGTCGAGTCTTTTAGCCTAGTAGTATGGCCTTGGGAGCTCAGAAGGGGTAGTGCTTGGTGTAGGGGGAAACCAGTCAGCTGAACCTGCAGGGATCTTCTCCTGAACCTCCGGGGTTCAGGAGGTAGCTACCTCTATAGATGTACATCTGTCGCCACATGAGAGTCTGAGAGTCGTTCGAAGTTCTTTGGATAGGTTTATGCGTCATGCGCGTGTTGCCCCGCTGAGGGGCATTGGTGGGCAGCACGATGGGGGTATAGTGGCCGTTGGGCTGGGGTTGTGTTTTTTCTGCAGTGTAAAGACCCTTGGCAACTTGTTTCCGCATTCCCATATCAACCATCCAGGAGAACAGAAATGAAGAGGCCACGTGTACGTTGGAAATTATATGTATCCCAGAATCCCAGCCCAAAATAACCGTCATAGCTTAGATTTGAACCTGGGAGTAGCCTGTAGGCCCCTGGCCCCAAGGAGCAGCAGCAGAAGGCACCGGTTATTGAGAGAGGCAAAGAAAGAGGAACATGTGCAACTCCAAGGCTCCCAGTAAGTGCTGACGAGGCAAAGAACGATATCTAAATATGAAACATAGCTTCATGTGAAACCCCACACAAGAGGACGCTCCAAACAACATGGAGGATGGGGTGTGACGAAGGCAAACCCGAACTCACAAAGTATAGGATAGTGCCATTGCATAATGTGTAGAAAATAAGTGGTTTTACAGACAGAGAAGATAGCCGCTGGCTGGAGGACCCAAGACGCATCGATCCTTTCAGAGGGAGAAGAATGAAATAGCTGTCGTACATACAAAAGTACGGCGCAGCAAATACGTGCGAAAGGGATCTGCGCTGGATACGCCAGCCTAATTTTTTGGTCCTATTTATCCTGTCTATAGACGCTAAAATATTTTACCGACGTGCAATTAGTTAGCTGCGTGCATAATTACATGCAATAGCCCGCTGTTCATGCACGTTTGTATGGAAACCATCCTTTAGTATCTAGCAAGCTTTCTAAATATGAATATCGTAACAATGAATACTGTAATATTAACCGATTCCCTCCAAACGGCAACCAATTATTATTCAAGCAATTAAAAATATCTTGTCCTTTTTCGTGCATTCTGTTTCCCTTCTTCATTTTTACTCTGCCTGAACACAAGGAAATAACTTTATTACCAACAAGGGTGCTGATGAACGGTGGGTACCTACCATAGCGGCGGAGTGCCGGTGGTTGGCAGCAGTAGTAGCTATATAAATAATCTTTGCTTCCCTGCCTGTTGCTGTTCGGAGTGCAAATAAACGCTTCATTTGCAAATAAACGCTCCATTTGGAATAGCGGTACAGAGGGGATACGACATGTATATGGCTCCGTCTTCTTATTTTACTTGTAACCCCTCGTTGCGTGCTGTTCGACTTCAAGGCACATTTCTCCTATGTGCGTTTCATTCAGCGCTCCCAGGAAAATCGACAAGATAGCAGAATCTGAAAGATTTTGTTACATAATTGCAGCGTCTTCGTTATTAGTCCTACCCATGGCTGCTATTCGGTGGACAGCGGCTGTGGCCGCCGTCCTGGTGATGAGCTGTCTGACCAGAAGCAGCAGCAGCGGTGAAAGCGGCGAATCCGTCGAAAGTGTTGAGCCCGGGATGATGGTCGGTGAGGAGCTTCGAGTTCGCACGAAGCATGTTTGCGCAGTACTTCACGCGATTTTGTAATGCGATAGATGCATGTATTTATGCCGCGCGTTATGTTTCGCTCGCGGGCCGTATGCAACAGGCCACCGCCCGCATGCACGCGACGCGAGCGAAGGACCTAGCTAGGACGTCCGCCAAACCAAACGATGACTGTTGATAAAATGTGTAAATGGCTCTGATTCTTTTTCGTTCCCTATATATTCTATGTCGGTGCTACAGTCCGCAGTACCTGTAGATAGTACGGCATGCATATTGTCTGCAAAATCGCCCTGAGGCGTTCCGCCAGCATCTTATTAAGATGCCTTTTTAACGGCCATCTACTGCGATGTATATGATGTGTGGGACAGGGGGGTCATATCTTCACCCGTGGCCGCTAACTGGCAAAACCCTGCCTTCCCCGGTATTTCGGGACATCCTCATCCAGTCACCCTAGCCGATTTCTCAGTGGATCGTTCAGGTTTAGCACCCACCATCGGGATCCAACGGAATCTGCCGGATCAACGGCGGTTCAACTCTACTCCTGGTCAGGTCGCAGGTCTACTTTAACCCAGGTCATCACCGTCCGTCGGCTAGGGGCACTCTTCCCTTCCGCCATCTTAAAGATTTTCGACCTTGACCGGTCTCGATCCCGGTACCTCCGGGGGGATACATATGTGTGTGTGTGTATCTCCGCTCTTCCGCTCGCTCGCTCTGCAGGCCTCATCTCATCGCTGGAGTTACACGAAACAAGGTACTACCTTAATCATGAACAGTCACCAAGAGCTGTTTACCGCCTGGTCTTCTGTGCCAACGTATCCCGGAAAGACATTCCGATGGGCAGCCTGGTCACTGTGTCGTACGATAAGATCCTGGACGGCGTCATGTACTCGTGTACGGTCCCCTCCGAGCCCATGGCTGCTGGGCTGCAGTCCAGCAGCCGGGGCAGGCTGCTGCTGCTCGGGGAGGCAATCACCACGCCAACGGCACCCAGAATTCTTGTCTACACAGCTTCGTTCTGTGGACATGACAAGCAGGCGTCGATAACGCAGGAGGTGCGTGTGTGTAAGCGTCCACGTGTGTATATATGTGTGTATATATATGTGTGTGTGCGTTTTAAACGTTAAATAATGAACTGATAATGCGTCGTCGCTTGTGAAGGCAACCTGCGTGTCCCTGGACGCGTCATTTACTACCTTTCTACGATGTGGTGTTGCTTCGATGCGCGTCATTGCGTGCACGTACGGTATATGTGTGTGCATGTATGTATGTCATGCGTGCGCACGCACGTGCAGCTTGCTTGGTGTGTTGCGTGCGGGGTCAGTTGTCGTTCTGGTCACTGGCCACGATCGTGATTTCGCAGCGAAATGTTCCGGTTACCGTACGCACTATTGTAATGCAACATATATATACTATATATGTACATAGTGCGTGTGCACGCACATCGACTGGTTGCAAACTAACGTTTCCAGAGAGCGGGCGAGGTGGGCCACGAAATTTTGTATCACGTCTTTTTGCAGAAAAGAACCGATCGGGGATGACAGATCCCGGGATACCCAGGATACTACAATTATCCCCCCTCCAGCATTGGGGGCATCCTCGACTGTTTGTCTATCTCAGGGCACATGTGAGATGTACAGCATCCACAGAATACCAGCGGCAGCAGGCCGAAATGAAAATCGAACCCCGGTTGGGACTGGGATACCCTGGTCTCGATACCAATTTGTTGTATCACGTCTTTTTGCAGAAAAGAACCACTTTGTAACACCAGGCAAAGAGTACTCAGGGAGATGCCAGGGGAGCTGATCCCTCTTACATCCCCCCCCCTCGAGCGAACGTCCTCGGGCGCCCCCGGGCATATCCCGTAGGATTTTAGGTTGTTTGAGATCCCGTAGGATTGTGAGTTTGTTTGTTATTGTGACATTTCGTCAGTCCCCGTCCGAGATGGAGGACTTTGTATTTACTCAGCTGGTAGATTTCTCGCCCACCCAGGCATCCACCTTTGGGATAAGAGTATGCTGCATCGTAACTAGGATGCGATACGTTCGCAACCGGACTCGATCCGAGGTGCACCCACCTCCTAGCAATTCGCACCAATGTAACACCAGGCAAAGAGTACTCAGGGAGATGCCAGGGAAGCTGATCCCACATGCCGGATGATGGTTCCCGAGACCTGGCATACAACACGAAACAATGATTAAGGGTCCTCTCCCTCGCTCGATGTGGCCATTATGATTAGCTGTTTCAGCTGTTAGGTGCCTACCTATTATACCTACTTTATTTCCCTTGCTTGTTATCCTGCCTCCTTCGTGCCTTCATACTCTATGTATGTATGCCGACGGATGTCCTTCAAATCTCGCATCATGGCCGGCTGCTGGGTGCTGGCTGCTGGCTGCTGGCGGTGTTTCCCTTGCTGGCGACGCGCCGCGTCTACATACCCAATAAGCACATCCCCCCAGCAAGTCAAGGACTTGTTCCTCACAGGAAAGTGGACCTGGAGGAATCGTTATATCGCAGAGTACTTGCGGTCCTGCAGCTTGGGAGGGGTCAATCTGCTACCTGATAATCTTAAAGTCCTAGGCCCTATAGTGGTCCCTTGCAGTGGCGCTCTAAAGGAACCCCAGCCCTTTCGCACCGGCTCCAGCTTCACAACAAGCCATTGCACCCAGAATGACAACATGAAGAAGTGGCACTACTGGCTGGATGCCTGGGCTGCTGACCAAGGAGTCAACGCGTCGGACTACCACCACCGCATCCTTATCCTTCCTAGTGGATTTACTGCGAAGATTGCTGGTGAGCGCATGGTCAACAACGTATACGTAACTCCTGCTGCTGTTATTGTGTGAGGTGCGTGTGTGCGTGCTTATGCAAGTATGTGTGTAGGAATGTATGCACATTATTTGTGCGTACCGTGGGGCGTGTACCGTATGGCTTAATTGGGGCTCACTAGTAATGGACGATGCTATGGGATGCCCTACATGCCGTGCGCTCTTCGTCGCGAGCTCGTAAGGAAAACACATGTATCCCGCTTCATTTTGGACTACCTTATGACTGCAATAAGCTACTCAACTTAAGCCATCGATCAGGAGACACGCATGGGCGTCCGTCGTTGAGCACTGTCCAACCCTTGCATACATTCCACCTTATATCGTACATAACTCGCTCGATTTCAAAATTACCTACATATAAATGTCTATGTATTGTCGTCTATAGCTCACATGTCGATTTAAAGACCACGTCTCCTTTCGATTGACGCACGGTGGTCTGACCAAGGACGCGTTGCCAAACTAGGCCACAACAGTAATATTCCTACCTATAGGTAGGATTGTTACTAGCTAGTAAGACGTTGCTGAACCTCGCTCCAGCAACTGAGCCCGCGCCTAAATACATCCGGATTACAAGGCAACATGTGGTCACATTATAATGTAAATACCAGGTGATGACCATAGTTTTTTTGTTTTACAAAAACCTATGTATGTGGATGTTTTTTACGATGGACGTTCCATATCTAATAGCTGTGTACCAGGGCACAACCTATAGGCGATTATAAAATTTACAGACGTCTAAGTTAGACGACAGGTCAATCCGTAGCTTGCTTGGGCATTTACTCGATGCGATGTAAATCTGGACCACTTAACCGAAGATGTGTAGCGCCTATATATGAAACAAGCAATTATTGACATGAACTGGCAAAACATACAACAATCAACGCGGCTTGCTTGCAGGCTGCGGCAGCTTTTCGGGCATGGCAACCCCTGGGCGCTGGTCATTGGACCGTACGGCAGTCAACGACTGGGGCAGCGGTCTAGTTTGGTGGAGTAGTGACAACTTTGCAGACCTGGAGGTTATTTTTCATGAGATCAGCCACAACTACGGCATGGCCCATGCAAACATTCCCGGCGGATGTAATGTGGGCTGGGGGGATCAATGCGATTACACCTGCGCCATGGGCTCAGCTTCCACTGGCCAAGGCATCCGCTGCTTCAACGCCCCACACAATTGGCAGGTGGGCACTCACGAAAACAATGAAACGCAAGCCCCCCAATCATAGCTGCGTGATCTGCTTGCTTAAGGGGGACCCGGCATCCCCATGTATATATGTATTACATAACTGAGCACAAGCCTAAAGACCCGGCCTCTTTATGCGTCGCTTTCATGCGTTCAGGTCGGCTGGGGTAGCAAGCCCGTGCTCCAGCTCGATGGCAAGGGCCTGGTACACGGCAACGCCACTACCGTGCGCATCCCACTACAGACGAGCAACGTGCAATCCTCTTTGATTGTCACCGGGAATGGCCTCCTGCTTGGCCAGCGGCTCTTCATCTCGGCACGAGTGAACACTTACCGGTACGACTTACCCTGGGATTTCTGGTACGATAATGTGCCGTACGTTCTACTCCACACGTACAGCGGCACCGATGCTGTGTCGTACGTTACAACGGTCCTTGTGGGCGAAATCCGGGTCGGCCAGGCGTGGAGAGATCGCAACAGTAGTATCTCAGTGCGCTTCGACTCCTACGACAGGTACACGGGTGCCGCTGTGCGGATTTGCAGCCGCGTTGCTGATGCGGAGCAAAACTGCGGAGATGGCCTGGATGATGACTGCGACTTCCTGTCGGACTTGGATGATCCGGACTGCAAAGGAAGAAACGGCCCACGGCCTCTTTCACCCCCACGCCCTTCCAACCCTCCACCAACACCAACACCAGCACCATCACCGCCGCCCAGGCTTTACCCACCGCCGTCCCCTCTACGACAGGCTTTTCCCCGAATACGGCCATCATCACCATCGCCCAGATCTCCCCCGCAATCGCCGATGCCATCACCCCGTCCCCGTCCCCCGTCCCCCCCGCCATCGTCACCCAAGCCCCCTCCATCTCCTCGCAAGCCACCCGCACCCTCCCGCAAGACCAACCCCACAGCTCTGAAGAGGAACCAAGGACCGCAGTAGCCATGCTGAGGGGTCTCACATGTTACCCCACAATCTCCATCCTTGCACGTGCAAAATATGTAATATATAGTGTTCGTAATAGTGTTCATGTCGTGTAATGTTCACCTACACAGCCCTGCTATAGCTAAAAATAAATTCAGAGCTCATGCATGGAAGTTTTAGTGCATAGACTGTTTGCATGATTGGCAATCAACTTTCTCGCTTTCCGGGGCATGGGGACTCCCCATCACAAGTGGGTGCTGTTCGTGTGGCGGCCGGCGGACACTACTACCAGCTGTTGAATGCCCTAGCGCGCGACAGCCACGTTTGACCCACCCCTACATGCGTCGTCTCATGCAGTAGGTTATGCATCAGCAGTGAGCTGATCATGGGTGTAAGTATCAACATTATTATTCACGTGATTGCCATCGCGCAATTTACCTGCTGCAGATGATGATCGTTAATGTTTTTACTTGTAGGTTGGTGACCTGGAGAGGGCTGGAGGCTGCTGTATCCGTCAACAATATTGTTGCGGTACATGAATCTCGTGCATTACCTATGTGCTGACATAGGGTAAGCATGTAGTCGTAGTATGCGATGTATATGCTGAAACAAACCTTCGGCCTGTCCATCCCACAATCGGCTGCCGCTAGCGACAGCGCTGCTGGTATATGCAAGGGTGTACGCACGTACGGCGGGCTCCCAGCGCAGTTTACATTAATAATAAAAAAAATAATAATAATAATAATGATAAACAACGGCGTTGTCGCACATGATGGTTCAATGCCACAGAAAAGCCCGCCTTACAAGCAAGCCTGCCTTCGACAGTCAAAATAACGATGACTGCATGATGATGATAAGTTTAGGATCTTAGTACCCCACACACCTACATACATAATTATAATAATCCGCCTGCCGACCCCTCGGGTGTGTAGAGGGGTATTGAATTGGGAAGTGGCCCCCCATCTTGTGGACGGTATAGGAGGTAATTATATCAACTTGCGAGCTGACCAGGAACTAAGTTGAAGCGCCGTTGATCCGCTAGATTTGGTTGGATGCTGGTGGTGAGTTGCTGAACCCAACGAATACATTCTGAAGTCGGATGGGGTGAATGGATTAGGGTGCCCCTCTAGCAGGGGAGAGCAGGGAACTGCCTCGGGAAAGGGGGCCGCTGGTGAAGCTATAGCACCCTGTAACATACATACATACATACAAACACCCTCAACCAATTTGCACACACCTAACTCTCATCACTCTCACTGTCGTCACCTTTTCCATACATAAACTCAGGAATTACTACTACCGCATAATTGCTGAGTAATCTCTTCAGCAGTAAAGCAAGCAAGCTAAGAACTAGCAGGCCTGCCATGCATCCTTGTCGCGGCCTGCTGGCCAGCGTACGCTCCTGCCGGCGTTAGCAGGACGTGCGTAACTATTATGAAAACAAATCAGGCGAATGGGCGGTGCGTTCCCTTGTTCTTTTACAATGACGCGGCGGTGCGTGCACATGTAGTAGCCGGTACACTGTACGGCGCATATAACAAATACATATATGTGCTAAGCGTTCCACCAGCATCTCGAATGGCCTTTTCAGTGGCAGCCAGCTACTACAGCACGCATGTCATGCCAGGATGGATGAGGCACGTTCGGTCGATCAGAACGATCGATGCAAGTCATGATGGCGAGAGGCTTCTGGCCGCCACTAATGGTGCTCAAGGAAAAAACTGCAAAAAACACCAGTAGCAGGGCTCGCATGCTGCTATCGTACTGTCGTACACGCACGTAAACCCGGGCTCTGCTGCCATTCATTCTGCCATCAGTAGCTGTTACACAGTACGGCACACGCATCAACTACAAATACGCGCGAAGCGTAAGTTCACCAACATCTCAGCGGCCAACTACTACAACTCCATGCATGTACGAAAACTCTGCTGGACATCAAGAAATGAATAAGCGCGTAAACACATAGGCTTCAGTGTATATGTATGTTTTTATGTATATTATAGTTCAACGGTATAACAGCCGATACGGTAAAGCCATATGGATACATGTTTGAACATGTGCGCATACGTGCCCGTGCAGCAGCAGCTGCTGCTGCACGGGCACGTATGCGTACCTGTTGAAGCAATCTGCAGATTGCTTGAACGTGCATGCGTCTGCAAGTACCATGACTTGCAATTATATGTCCAAGGTCTTGACATGCATGCCGTGGGCATGTGTCAGTCCGTGGGGCATGCATGCCACGCAAATGATACACATCTATGTGCAGATGTGATATTGCGTTGTTGCATATGTGCGGCAAAGGACGAGCGCGCAGAGCTCACACGTGGCCGTCGAGTGTTTCAGTACGTAGAACATTAGTGCGTGCGGCATGCATGCAAAGCCGCCGAAGGGTAGCTAGGTCGGTGATGTTGTGCTGATGGGGGCAGCAGGCGGATTAGAGGCAATGGCGGAGGGCGATGATCACGATTGCGGTATTCCCATATTGCGGTAGGTCCATGCATATGCCCTTTTTCATCGACGCGTGTTGCTTCTACCGTAGAAGCGTATATACGTGACGTATACTTGCAAACAGATAGATAGAGGAGGAGGAGGAGGAGGGGTATAATGCGGATGGACCGAGTGGATCTACATGTGTAGTACATATGTAGATCCACTCGGTGCTCAGTCGTACGCGTATGCAAATGACGGCGGCGGTTGCGCGCACGCAGTAAATTGATAAATAAATTAGTAGAGCAGCACCGCTCTAAAACTCAAGGTGTACGACACGTGCATGTATGTACGAACATACATACGTGCGGCCCCCCTCACTGCCGTTACGGTGCACAGCTGCATTCTCCTATTACAATCGTTACTCTAGCCCATAAGAGATCGATTTAAATCAGCCCGCCCCAAGCTAATTAGCTTTAAAAACATTTGGAGGTTTGGACGGGGCGACAACAAGGATGCATGCATCGCCCCAATGGCCCTGATGCTTCCTTGCACGGGCCGGAAGTAAAAATGGTAAATTACGGGGAGAGCTGCGGTTGTCCCGCTCTGCCCAGCACGATCGATTAGAATGGAATCCTCCTCGCCGGCCTTCTCTGTCCTGCACATGGCAGTAAGGCCAACGTATGCAAATGCTCGACTGAAACTATTGTGCGTACATGAAGATTATGGTGGGGCCGCATATGACTACCTGCAAGGTCATTGATGCAAACGCTGCGGCATCAAATAAACAGGTCCCCCGCTAGCGTATCTAGACAAGCAAAGCTGTAAACTCAACATGCACTCCTGCTCCTGCTCCTGATGCTGCTCCTGATGCTGCTGCGGCTCCTGCTGCGGCTCCTGCTGCTGCTCCTGCTGCTGCTGCTGCTCCGCTGTGAAACGCCCCCTCAGGATGCAAGTACGTCTCCATGCCATACGACAATAAATGAACTTGATGATTAATTCAGCTGTCAAGAGAGCAGCCTCAATTAATTCCCCACGGAGCCGACCACCAGCCGACCACGGTGCTTTCTCGCCCCATGGGGCGAGCAACCTGTTGCACTACGTCGGAACTACAAGCGAATCGCGCCGCCTCTTGTACTTAACGACCACTACAAGTGCAACCACGGCTAGGACCGCCGCCGCGCCCAGGGCGGTCCCCACACCGATGGCTGCCATCTTCTGGAAGCTATGCCCGCTTGCTACTTCCTCCGTAGATGTGGCAGTAGTGCTGGTGTTGGGAGTTGATAATGGCACATCACCCAGTGTTTCTGCTGAAGGCAGTCCATTCTCTTTATCGGCTGGTTCGGCTGATGGTGAAGTTGGTAGCTGTCCGTTTGCATCCACCGTTGCTGTTGTTTCTTTGGTTGTAGAATTGGGGGGGAATCCACTGGCTTGTGGAGGAGGAGGGGTTGCAGAGGGCGGCGGCAAGGGAGGGCGCTGTGGCATGGGAGGTAGAGGTGGAGGTGGAGGTGATTTTGTGGTTGCAGAGGTTGAACTTGGCGGGGGCTGGGTTGGTGGTCCTGGAGGAGATGTTCGCGGCGATGGTGACGGAGGTGACGGTGGAGGAAACGGAGAGGGCGGGGGTGGTGGTCCTGGAGGAGATGTTCGCGGCGATGGTGACGGAGGTGACGGTGGAGGAAACGGAGAGGGCGGGGGTGGTGGTCCTGGAGGAGATGTTCGCGGCGATGGTGACGGAGGTGACGGTGGAGGAAACGGAGAGGGTGGGGGTGGTGATGCAGGAGACAGAGGACGCGGTGGCGGAGCTTGAGGCGGTTTCGGAGGACGTCGAGGTTTTGGCGGTGGTACCGGTGACGGAGGTAGTGGTGGCGGTGGCGGTAGCGGAGGATTAGGTGGTGACGGAGGTGGTGGTGACGGTGGTGGTAGCGGAGGATTAGGTGGTGAGGGAGGTTGTGGTGACGGTGGTGGTAGAGGAGGATTAGGTGGTGAGGGAGGTTGTGGTGACGGTGGTGGTAGAGGAGGATTAGGTGGCGAGGGAGGTGGTGGTGACGGTGGTTGTAGAGGAGGATTAGGCGGTGAGGGAGGTGGTGGTGACGGTGGCGGTAGCGGGGGTGAAGGAGGTGGTGGTGACGGTGGTGGTGGAGGTGGTCTTGGACTTGGCGGAGGAAGTGGAGATGGTGGTGATGGTGGCTGCGGTGATGGTGGAGGTGGTGGGCTCGGCGGATACACGAAGCCTCCGATATATGTTTTCGAGTTTATGGAACATGAAGTCAAAAGTCCTGTGGTCGAGTTACTCACGTTCAGCAGCTTCTGAATGGTGCTTACGGTCGTTGAACCCATGGTTACTGTCAGAGTCACTTTGTACGGAGAAGGTACATTTTTGTACATTGACAAACATATAAAATACTCTGCACGATCAGGCGGCCTGGAAGTATTGCTCCAAGAAACAGCTTCAAAGTTTCTCCGCGGAGTTACACCATAATTATCACCCTCATACGCGCCACCTCGTACGTCTCCTATCATGCCCCATGTCACGAAGTACGACGTGAGTTGATAGTTCCATGCCACCAGAAGGTCCAGGTCGTCCGTACTGGGTGCTGCGTGCAATGCACGGCAAGTCCAGTGGTTAGCATTGCATGTTCGCTGGTGTCCCTGCTGTAGTTTACCCAAAGCTAAGAAATGGCAGATTTGTACTGCCTGTGTGAGGTTATAAGGCAGGTGGGTGATGACTCGCATGCGGGTTTGTCTGTTTGTATGCACACACAGGAACCATAGACGGAGCATGTGTGTGCATCGTCATCCACTCGTCCACTGGCCTTGGGCCCCGTCAAGGGCTCCAGGTATGGGCCCATTTACGTCTTTAAAAAGTGACGCAACTCCAGGAAGGTGTAACAACACACACACACACACACACTCTATCTCTTAAGCCCATATATGAACCCGTCCGTCTGTAAGCCGGCGTAGTTACTAACGGCATAATCGAACTACGACGACAGAAGAAACCTACCTGTACCGACGAACCATTCAACCTTAAAGCGCAGCCAGGGCATTTCCGGATTTGTGGGGAGAAGCAAGAACGCTTGGCTGATGTCTGTCTCATCGCAGATGTCCGGCGGGTAAACCTGGAGACCGTTCTTGCCTGCCTCGAGTGGGGGTGTGACGTGGCTCAGACAGTACCTGTCAGAGCCAGTGTTGCTGTATCCAGCGAGGGCATATGGCACTAGCTGCCAAACCGTCTTCCTGCGTGCATCAGTAGCGGCCAACCAGGAACATGACGGCCGGTCATGTTGTCGCGGCGGAAACATGCAGGACAAAACAGATGGGATGGAAAAGATGGGATGGAAATAATATAAAATGAAGCGAAGCTGTCATGTCGCCGCTGGTTGTTGTATTCTGGGCATATCTCACGGGATTCTGACATCCGCCGATCGGACGTACTTTTCTGAAGCAGTCTGAAGTCGTGATACAACAAAACACCAGTGTTGCAAATTCAATGTTGTACTCTGCCGATCTGCGGAGTGATTTGTGGTTTAGTAAGGGAAGGCAATCTAGTCGGTATATCTGTTTACCTTGGCCTTGTCATAGCTGTCGTACATATTGTACGGTCCACTCATCGTCTAAAAATTCACGCTAAAGCGCTGTCCCAGCAGTTTGAAAGCCCTTTTCACCCGCCAGCTTTTACTATATGCAGGCCGCGGCGGGAATAGCCGGGCCCAGTGGGAAAGCTGTATGTGGTATGGAGCGTCGATTGCCCACCACCTGCAGATATCACCTGAGCGGCGCACACGCCTCCGTGCAGCCCCGGGAGTTCGCTTTCTGGCAGAAAGCATACTCGCCTACTAGACACGACGAGCAGCCAGCACGCAGTTGCGGTGCACCATTTCCCCGACACCTTTCCTGTCGTGATTGCAAGTGACTACGTACGCTTGTGTCGCTGAAAAAAAAACTATGTAAAACTTTGTTACCATGCACAATCAAGTGGCGACTCTTCGAAGCAGACAAGGCTGGCATGCCTGTACTATTCTTACGGCCAACAGTTTATTTATAAGCCCTATAGTTCAATGGATCGGCACGGTCACCATCTAACATACTAGGGCACAATCTACAAACGATACAAATTTTACAAGGGCGGGGTAGTTATGTGACCATGCATGGAACGGACTAGAGGAACCGTTCGGATCCGTTCGATGCCTGGTGGTAATTACCCATCATGGTTACCGGATCCGAGGACGGTTACTGGCTAACGGTCGATTCGGTAATCCTACCGGCCCAGTAACCGAGGTATGGTGATCTCGGCAACAGGGCCGGTAGGGTGGCAACTGGGCAGGAACCGGCCTGGTGTATGCCATAGGTTTTACACGCACACAGCCGAAGCAAAGCTCACAGGCCCGCCTACTGGCTGGCTGCATATCCGGCTGTATTAACCCCTCGCATTATTGTGTGCAGGCAAGCAAGCAAGCCTGCTGCCTGCTGCCTGCGCAGGCATGCCACGCCCGTATCTACAGGGACACCCAAACAATGAAAACGTTCCTTTTTGATATTTTGATGTTATGTAATGGTCGGTAATTAACGAATGTAATAACTCACGTTGTAAAGAAGGTGTTCTTGAACAAGGCCAGTTGTTGCCACAGGTTCTGTTGACAGTCCGAGAAGGTGGTGCTGTACCCACTAACGCTACGGTAGTCGCTGATCACAGTCAGACAGCGCCCAAGGTAATCTTTGACCGTATACACGTAGCTGCCAGTCGCGGTGCCTGCGACGGTGAAGACACACGCATGCGCATGTGCACGTGTACAAGTAATGAAATGTGCCGACACCACTGCTAAACCCTGCTGCGAACCCGAATGATGGCGCGCATACCACACAGTTTAGCAAGTGAAAATAAAGACAAAACTTATCATACATTGTTAAAAAAATTACGGACGACGGCAGCCCAACAGCAGCCTCCCATAACCAGCAAGCTGTTGTGCTAAACCGCAAGGAATTCCGCGCAAGTGCGTACACCCATACGCACCTACATAGCTTCCTCGTGCTTTTGCTTACATAGTACGGCACATATATCGTCCATTAATACGCGCTCCGCTAGCATCTATAGAGACATTTTCAGCGCCCAGCTACTACACGAACTCCGACCCTCGACTATGGATAGGCTGGGCACTCCAACAAGCTGCACACTTTTCCTACTACGCCACTGGTACTGCGTTCCGAAGGACTTCTTACCTGTCTCAGAAAGAATGAACCTATTAGCTGCCTGGTTGCACGTTAAGGATATTGAAGGTACTGGCGAGTCATCTATAACTGTGACACAGCCTGCCGCCTCATCGCCGCTTGTGTACTGCCAGATCTCGTACTCCGACACCGGCGAGGCCCAATCCTTATCTCGATAGCATGGAGATAAAGGCAAGCAGGGATGCATATGAGCATGCAAGCATAGACCGTCGGCATATAGTAGCTGCCGTACACAGTACGGCACCTTAACAACTACAAGTACCCGCAAAGCGCTTCACTAGCATCTTGAGAGGCCTTTTCAGCGGCCAGCTACTATACACAACGGCAGGGTATTAGGTTCGGTGCGCATAGGAGAAGGAGAGGCCTTCACGTCGAGCTCATCAAATGTGTTACATGGAATAATAACGTTTATTGTTCCGTGATGAGGAAAGGGTGCAAGGTACTGCTAGCGTGCACAGGACACGCGTAAGAGCCTAGTTCAGGACTAAGGAGAAGGTACTTAATTCCTTGCTTACCTAAAAACCAATTTCACTTTCAAGGTAGGCATACCTAGGCCTAGGCTCTCACAACAACGTTAACGTGCATGTATATGCTCGGTGCTTGCATAATTGTGTGTGTGTGTGTGCAGCTATGTGCTGGCGGTCGCAAGTTTGTGAGGGTCCTCACCGTGAGTCGAAGTGGTCGTGCAAAGGCTGGGTTGAGCACTCCCTTCAGCGTGCCCTTGAAATGCCCGACCACTGCCAAAGCCCAGTATTGGGGCCGCGCCGCATCAGGTTGAGAGCCTCCCATAAGATTGTGTACAATCTTGCTGCCGTTAACCAGCAAAGCCACTTTGTCGCCCGACTGCAAGTTTGACAGCTCGACGCGCTCCACATTGTTCACGCGGTCTGAGATGAGCAGAGAACCACACGTGCAGGGATGCACATACATGTGTGCTTCTGTACACAAGTGGTGTACGCGGCAGGAAGCTTTGATCATGCTCCGGGTGAGCATTGTACCAGCTAGCAACACTGTGGGCTTCCCCGCACGTTCTACATTATCTAGTCTACGTCTGTATGATGTGTGAAACAGGGGGGTGTATCTTCGCCGTGGCAGCTACCCTGCGAATCCCTGCCTTCCCCGGTATTTCGGGGCACCCCCATCCAGTCACCCTAATCATCTTCTCAGTGGATCGCTCAGGTTCCGCACCCACCACCAGCATCCAACGGAATCTGCCGGGTCGACAGCGGCCCAACTCCATTCCTGGTCGGCTCGCAGGACTTAACTTTATCCCAGGTCTTCACCATCCATCAACTAGGGGCGCAATACCTTCCACTATCGGAAAGATTTTGGACCCTAACGGGTATCGATCCCGGAATCCCGGGGTTCTGTAGGTATGCTGATTACACGCATCGTCTATAGGTAGGTCATGCCGCCCTGCTGGTACAAATAGATAAAATATACCTTTTGCTGCTCTTAATACGTCATTAGTTTATACGGGATAATTTCTTTTATGAGCGGCAACATTCATTACTTTTGCGGTTAAACTAAATACATTTGGTCCAATTACTAGGGTTGCCACCAGCAGGTTGCCGACGAGTGGCCAGCTAGGTTAAGCTTGAGCCCCTGTACCCGCCGCCCCTGCCTAAAATCTGTATCGTTGGCCAACGATATCGTTGGGCATCGATGCCCAACGTTGGCCACATGCATGGCCCATGAGGCATATGTGGATAACCGCCGCCGGTAAGAACGTTTTTCGTTTATAGGCAGGCAGGGCCATCGTATTTGGACGAAGAAATAAATCGTATATCGATCGATTGTATAAAATGGTCTAACTATACTTATAGATCTTGCCTTGGTATGATAGATAGGCCCGAAAATAGATGATAGGCCTAACTATATCGCCGCGCAAAAATATCAGAGATGGCCTACTTGATTGATAAATATTGCATACGCAATTGCGTACCGATCATCAGTATATACTGATAATTGCATGTATGGTTGCAATCATATACTAATGATCAGTACATACGCACATACATACGCACACACCTTCACGTGTTTTAGAGGGTGTACCACCGTTGACAATGTACCATAGGTCCAGATCATTGACGAGGACAGTGCTCGCCATGGCAGCCGCCGGGTAATCGTGCCAGACTAAAACCGCCTTAATCGGCCTGTGAATGCAATCATTGCAACAAATAAATGCGGGGTTGGGGGGTTAGGGGGGTTTGCAATGTCGTCGGTGACTAGAGCCTGCCAATATGGCGGTCGCCATGCAAGCTCACGGAGAAATGTGCGTGAATATTCTATTTATTATAACTTTTAATATAGAATTACTTCAAATTTATTTTATACATGAATGCAATCAAATGCTAGTATGTGATGTTCTGCAATGAATTTATTCCAGAACATCACATGCTAATAAGCTCTATCTCCGAGCACAGACCAGCTGGCACATGTAATGTATAACTAGCTAGCTAGCTCACGAGTAACACCAGACCACATTAGATCGGAATGCATCAGGAGCACCCTTTGTTCAAATAAAGGAATCTGTGGACAACCGAAAAGCGCGTCAGTAATAAAAATTTCGATCACCTATAGCTGTACATGTAGGCGACACTGTCGTACGTATAATAGGTAGGGACGGTCCCTACCTATTAAGTGAGAGCGTTGCCTACAGGTGATCGTAATTTTTACTGTCGCCGCACGCATGTGTACGGCAAACAAGGACGAGCATGCACGCCAAGCTTCGTATCAAAGCGTATATTCCTATAGGACTAGCTAGTCACATAGCCGCGCGCACCCTGTCCCCGTCGCCACGATTCCGGTAAGGAAGTGAGCCTCGTTCTGTCGTATCTGCCCCAGGTCGGCCACTTGGATCCGCATGTTGGGGTTCGTATATCCGGACAGGGGCAGGCACCCGCTTAGGTCCAGCCGCCCCCAGCCCTGCATCATTATGGTACATGTTACTATGTATGTGTATGTATATCATATATGGTATATTATATTGTTTTATATCTTATACTTCATCTGCATACCTAATACATAATATGTAGATGATGTAATCGACAATTTCAAGGAATAGCTAGTGTTTTGTGGTGCATCGATTACACATGCACTATAGCGCATGCATGCAAACATATGTTTGCTAGCTAGCAAAGTAATGTATATGCCGGCGGCGGCAGCAGCAGCAGCAGATAGAGGCCAGACGTGCCAGTTTCTGCACCACGCCTGATGGGCGGTTGTCCGAGAGTGCAGCTTTCAATGCTAGGATGCATCCGATGCTGTTTGCAGGCGAACTCACTTGGATGCCGTCCGGAGCGTCACCCAATACGTTTCCAGTAGACCTTGCAAAGCCACCCTGCATTGACGCATGGTTTATACGCGATAACATGATTTTTATACACGATAATTAATTTATACACATTTATACACATGATTTATACACGATTGATACGCGATAATTGGTATCCACTCTTAGCAATCCTTTC